TTCTCCACTGCACAAAAGTGTCATGCCTTCCCAACCCATCTGCAGCTGCTAGATGAGCTGTCCCTATTTCTCTCTGGTTCCCTGTCACATAGAGCATCATTTTGTCATCTTTGACTTTCAGCTTATTAACCCTCTTTCAGGTTGAGTATATTTCCTATTCAGAGCATCTCAATGGATCCTGTCTCCTGATCTACTCTGCCTGTGTTTCTTTTTGTTAGTTTATCAAGGCTATCTATATTAGAGATTATAGCCCACCTTCTCTGCCTCATCTCTGCTATTCGATTTTTCTGTTATTATTTGTCCACTTTTCTCCTCCATTCCACCTGTCTGCCCCATTCATTGAGGCCTCTCTGCCACTGTTGCTGGAATCTTGGTATTTTTTTTCTCTCTCTCTCTGGAATGTGCTTCAGTATTTTGTAGGGTTGAATTGGTGGCCATGAACTCCCACAGTTCCTCCTGGTCTTGGAAACATCTTGTTTCTCCATTAATTATAAGAGAGAGTTTTTCAGGGTACATCAATCTGGGTTGGAGGATATTTTCTTTCAGGTCTTGGACTATATCCCCCCAGGCTTTTTTGATTTGATAGTTTGTGTTGAGAAGTTTATTGTTATTTTGATGAATTTTCCTTTATAGGTGATCTGCTTCTTTTCTCTGACCACTTTTAATATTCTGTTCTTGTGGTGGATTTCTGGAATCTTGATTATTATCTATCTGGGTGTAGATCTGTTTTGGTTGGAGTTGGTTGGAGTTCTGTCTGCCTCATTTATCTGGATATCATTTCTTTTTCCTATGCTTGGAAAGTTTTCCTTAATTATTTCTGTGAATAGCCTTTGCAATTCATTTGTATTTACTCCTGCTTCTTCGTTCACATTTTTTATTCTTAAGTTATAGATCCTCTTGTCATCTTCTAGCCTTTGAATTGTTACTTCCTGCTTCCTTGTTATTTTTAAGAGGTCTTTTCTTTCACAATCACACATTGCAAATCTATCTTCAAGTTTTGAAAGACTAACTTTAGTTTCTGTCAAGGCATTTTGCCAGCTTTCCATGGAACTTTTAATTTCCTGGTAATCTCCTTGGATCTGTTTCATGTATTCTAGATTTTGTTTATATTCTTTACCAAAGATTTCTCTTCCTTTTCTGGGTTCTTCCATTCTTCCATCTGTGTCTTCTTGAGAGGGGCTTAGCTTTCTTTTATTAATCTTTTTATATCTTGCCTCACTTGGGTTAGAATTTCAGTTTTAAGTTCATCTTTGAGTTCACGAAGGTATTTCTTTATGTCCGCTGATGCTGTGGCCGATATTACATGATTGCTGCCCTGGTTCTCTTCTCTATTTACCTCTATTTCCCAGGGCCAGCAGCTGGAGGTCTTTTCTTATTTCTTCCTCTTGTCATGTTTCTGGTTTCTTTCAGACAGGTGTATGGTGGAGGACTCAGGCCCTCTCCATATTACTTATGGTTTTTCTGAAGCGTGCTAACCGGGGTTTTGCTGACCTCTCCAATTTGCTGTTATCTGAGGTGCATGCAGGGATGATGCAGACTAGCCTCTAGCCTCTGGGCCAGTCAACCTGTAAGTCCCTTCAGCAACTTAGTCTGTGCTGTGGCGGATGTCACAGGGTTGGGACAGTTTCGTCCCTGGCTATTGGATCCCAACTCAGCCCAAGCTGCTCCAACCAATCCTCTCTGAGCCAGGGGCCGCTGACTGACCCCACTGCAGTGCCGGGCTCTGCCCCACTCCAAGATGTCTTCCAGCTGGCCTCGCCTGCCGTGGGACCCAATTTCTAGCACTCACCGAGAACTAATGCAGCTCTCCACCTTGGCTCCAGTCCATGCTGTGCCGCGTCCTCCCGCCAAGGGCCTGGGACTCACCAACTCCTTTATTGATGGCCACAGCTTCAGGGCAACCTTGAATCATCCGACTCCACAGTGATCCCAGCACAGTGCGAAACAGATCTCAGTGAGTGCGTCCGGCTCCAGCCCTCCATCTATGTCTCCTAATTTTCTTTTTCCTTCAGTTTCCTCCTGGATAGTGAGACTCCCTCTCCCATCATCCGGCCCTCTCCATGTGGTCACATTCCATGTTTTTCCCAGAGAGGCTCTCCACCCAGCCACCTCCAAGCAGCCGTCTTCTTGTCTCTCCCTTACTCACAGTCTTAAAGACTGAACGTCCAAGAGCAAGTGATCCCTGTCAGTTTAGGCTCTGGCAAGAGCACCCTTGACTACATCAATTATAGCAGAAGGCATCGTGGCAACAGGCTGTGTAGAGAAAGACAGCAAGGGTGTGCAGCAAGACAGGAAGCCAGAAAGAGCAGAAGGCTGTCAGCCCCTTTTAACACCCTGCTCGTGAGAACTAATCAAGGTCCCGTGAGAATTACCTAAATTAATTCTGAGAACAGAGCCCCAAAGCCCTAACAACCTCCCCTTGGGCCCCATCTCTACACTGGAGATCAAGGTGCTCACTTTGTTCCTCAAAGGACAAACTGCCTCTAGACAACAGGAGTGACTTTAACCTTCCTGAACTTTTGCATCCTGTGCTGAATCAGAGGTCAAAAGGGACGTGGGGTGACTGCTGGTCTCACTGGACTTGGAGCCCTCTTCTTCAATTCTTTGTGGGCTTCCACTGGGTTGGCATCCTGATACTGAAATTAATGTTGATATTGAAATTAATATCTCTAGCAAGTAAGGAGGGTAACGGGACTTTGGGGAGACAGGGTATTGTTGGCTCATCACAGCTAACAAGACCAAAGAAGGGGCCATAACCCTGACCTGGCTTGTGATTCTTTCTTCATTCTAAGCTGACCTTCCCTGCCATCCTGTCAACTCCCCTTCAACTAATCTAGGCTCCTCCAGTCCCTAAGTCTTGACATAGGGCAGCCTCTCAACTTACTGTGGTCTATTAAAATGCTCTACCTCTCGGAGGCTTCCCTGATCCCCAAAACTAACTTGTGTCTTCCCCACAAAACACACTCATAACTCCTTACTTCCAATGTTTGTCATAAGTAATTAGAGGCATTGCAAGCCATTCAGTGCATGTCTTCCCCACTACCCTGAATGCTGGGAGACAGCAGGGAATGTGTGGCTCTGATTTGTCATGAACAGAAGCCTCCTGGAGCCTGGTGGTGATGACCTGTTTTTTAATGAACTTGGGTGCTTCAGATACGGAGGCAGGAATAGAATCCCTCACCCTGGAAGAATTAAACTGACCATAAGGGAAGGAACTAAGTGTTCTGTTTGGTGAATACCTATCTGTGGATTGAGCATACAGGCATCCCTCTTTTCAGTGAAGCTGACCTAGGGAAAATCATGTTACAGTGAAGATCACTCTCTAGCTGCAGTCTCAGGGAAGACTTTTCAGACCAATCACAGGACACATAACCTTTCTTAGCTGCCACTTCCACTGAAAGCAAATGCTGCTGTAATTATAATTATGCACTCACCCAGCCCTGTCCCAGTATGCACTCAGACACACAGACTGGGGTTAACAAAGGTGCTTTATTAACTGTAAATCAACATGTTTCTATGATTCAGCTTAACTCAGGCTTTGAGTGTGGGGCTGGCGCAGACCTTACTGAGGGTGGAGGATCAGCAAAGAGCGCTTGTTTGATACTTAGAGGAGGGAAACCACTGTCCTAAAGGAAAGGCTTAAATAAAGCATTTTAGTGTTGTCACGTGGTGATCCAGTAAACGCTGCCTGTCTCCTAACACCGCAGTATTCAGGGCTCTGGGAGAGGTGAGGTAGATTTCTTTGCACTAAATTATAGGAACATCATTTTGAGCAGCCTGAACAATAGAAATGTGATGATCTCGTGAGGTAAGTTGGTTCCCAGGGAATCTGACTCCCGGGTGATTAGCCCTGACTCCTCTCTCTGGATGCTGCTTACCACATAGAGGGAGGAGGGGTTACTTTTATTTGCCAAAGCTCCTTCTATAGTTACTGACCAATCGTCACACTCAAAGCACCTTGAAAACCCATGAAGGTCTAAGATCTTTCCATGGCCAAAGTCCTGCCCCACAGTCTTGCATTTTGAGAATCCTAAAAGTTCCTCTTTGCAAATAGGATGCCCACAGCGCTCCCAAGAACCAATGCCACGTTCATCTGGAACCATTTCTCCTCCATAGTCTCCACCTCTGCCTTCAAGCCTCTGCGGCCTCCACAGTCTTTCCCAGCTCGTCTGCTCCAGTTCCTCCGCCTCCCCCTCTCTCACCTACCCCATCACCCTTCTCTGTGGCCCCTGCTTCCGCTCCAGGCTTGCCCCAGGAAGCCTCTCTTCCCAGTTATAGCTGCGGCTTGGCACAGCACAGGTATTAAAAGCTTTTCCCTCTGGGTTGGAACTGTTGGTGAGGTTGGCTCTTTCTCCACATAAATTATACAGTTCTCTAAGGCCGTCTCTCTTTATTCTCAGATCTAACCTAAAACAGTCCCTGGCATGTAGCAGACCCACAATCAGCATTTGATACAGAGGTGAGAACAAGAACACATGAGTCCTTTAAGTGACTCAGCAGCTAAGAAGTCTTCATTTTCTTTTAGACCTTGAAATTGCTGGGAATGGTTTTGTGAAACCGTATCTGTCATCAAACACTGTGAAACTGGGTTTCCTAACGTCCAGTGCCCCGTGAATCAGCAGCCCAGAGGCAGATCGCAGGCCAAGCAGTGACCAAGGAACCCTTGGCTGGCTTCAGGTGGCAACTCTACCTCGAATGGACCGCTAGATGGCAGCCGCACCCCAGGATCCGGCCACCTCCGCCCTGGCCACACCCCACCCGGACCGCAAGCCCCACCCCGGCCTGTCTCTTTCCGGGACTCGATCCCCATGGCAGCCGCACCCCAGGATCCGGCCACCTCCGCCCTGGCCACACCCCACCCGGACCGCAAGCCCCACCCCGGCCTGTCTCTTTCCGGGACTCGATCCCCATGGCAGCCGCACCCCAGGATCCGGCCACCTCCGCCCTGGCCACACCCCACCCGGACCGCAAGCCCCACCCCGGCCTGTCTCTTTCCGGGACTCAATCCCCACCCAGAGGCGAGGGCAGGTCCTGGAAGATCACCACAGTCCTGGGAATCGGGCCCTCCCTGGTGAAAAAACGAGGTGCCCTGCCCTCCAGCCCCTTGGCCTCCTTTCTGTAAACTTTACGACTCCTTCATTCTGCGCGTTCCAGCCTCTCCCTCCCCGCCCGCTTTATAAAATCTCTATTATATTCCCTGTGCTCCATTTTCCCAGGCAGGACCTGCAGACCGCGCTTGCAAACTGTCAATTCAGTTGATAACACAGGGAAAGGACTCAGAGCTCACAGGGAGGGAGGTTAACGGACGGGAACTAGTAAAGATGTGCCTCACACACGTACCAACTCCCCAAAACATAGCTACATAGCTACCACATGCCACAGACATGCACTGATTTTAAGTTTATAAAGTCAAAAAAACAACGAAGTCCTTATGAAGAGAAGAGACTGTACAAGGCCAGGTGCAGGGGACAGAGGCAGTCCAGGGCACAGAGGGACAGACAGGGAAATGAGCCTCAGAAGAGGGGGCGGTGGGCGCTGGGACTCCCTCTGGGCTTCCTATCCAAACTTCTTGGTGCTTTTTTCCTACATTTTTAGAAAGATCGTCAGTGGCCCTGGTGGTTATTAGGCTCCAGTGAAAAGCTATCAGATCCTGTAGGGAACAGGGAGAATTCAGCCCAGCGCCTCTTTCTTAGTCGTGTTTGCTCCAGAGTCAAGGCACACAGCTGCCTCCACCCCCCCCCCCCAATTTCTCCACTTCCCTTAACACCCGCAGCACCCTGACACACACACACACACACACACACACACACACACACACACACACACTGGCAGTCCCTTATATTCGGAGCTAGCATCTGCAGAAACTCAGGGCAGCCTCCTCCCCCTCCCCTCCCCCCTCCCCTTCCTCCCCCTCCCCTCCCCTCCCCCTCCCCCTCCCCCTCCCCCTCTCCCTCCTCTGAAAAGAAGAAGAAGCTGTGAATCCCAGCTGTACCCCCGCCTAGATGTGAGAGGCATGAAAGGTAAGGTGGAACCCATCCCTGTGCTCAGGTCTGGGGTCCTGGTGATCCGTGCCCCTGCCATAGCAGAGAAGGTATAAAATGCAGCCTTAACCTACGTCATGCGGTCACTAGGAGCACAAAATGACACACAGGCAAGAGCTCCCTGTAGGTGACAAGGGTAAGGTACCCACTGAATAATCACATGGCCATTTATTCACCATCCCTGGGACGCCTCTCCTATGACAACGCAGTGTGCTGGGACCCAGCCCATAGTGGAAACGGAGGCACAGAGCTTGCAAAAGACCTTGCAAAAGGGAGGGAAATGTCAAGCTGTACAGGAGAGGGCAGGCAGCCAGATGGAGAATGCAGGGAACATAGTTAAACCCGGAAGGGAAGGCACGGCTGATAGGCGCCACCGAGCCCTCCTAACACCTACACGTATTTAAAACCAGCATGTTGTCCACAGTGAATGCATATGATTTTTGTCAATTCAAAACTAAATAAATACTGTTAAGAAATCCAGATTGTGCTAGATTCCTTAATTCAAAAGAGCCAGTGCCTCTTATAAACCAGTAATATGAACAAAGGAGAAACCAACTCCTACAGGTAAAGCAGCTCAGGAGATTTAGCCACCCAGAGTGACAGATGGGCAGAGTTTAGATCCTGCTTTGAGGAGCCCTGCCTATCACAAGGTAATGTTGAGACAGTCAGGGAAATGTGATTATGCAATGGGTATTACCATTAAGGAATGTGTCTATCTCACCTATGATTATGGTAGAACTGTGGTTATTGTTAGAGACATCCATCTCTATTTGCAAGGATTTACTGAAGAGGTGTCTGGGGTTGCTTTGAAAATATTCCCAAAAAAAGCATACAGGGAGATTAATGAACAGGAATGATTTGATCTTTGTTGAAGCTAGACTGGGATACTTAGAGGTTCATCAAAATGATGTTTACTCCTACTTTTGTGTATTTTTAAAATGTTCCGTATAAAAAGGTTTTATTGGTGCTTGGGAGACTAGACTAACAGAAATGAGAGAAGACAAACAGTCAGCAAGTGTAACAGATCAACACGGCAGCTGTAAAGGTCCAGAGGAGGGAGGCTGAGGAAGAGGTAAAGCTATACTCACTGGGTGAGCTGAGTACAGATGAGCAGAAAGAAGGTTCCAGAAAGAATTCACCCATGTGCATAAGCACAGAAGCCCCAGATGGCATCCACTGCCCACAAGTTTTAACTAGAACAACTAATGATTCCAGTTTACTTGAAACTTTCCTGGGTTAGCACTGAAATTCCCACATCTTGGGAAATCCATCAGTCATCAGTGAACCCTGCCAGCTGGTCACCCTGCCTTACCTTGCCACATGGAAGGGACGTGGTACTGACCTGGTCAGGTCGGCAGAGCTGAGCTGCGGCAGCTGGGATCTGCAGGACCAGGAATTAGGGCACTCTGAGTAAGAGGCCAAGGGGGACCCTCAGCGATACCCATATTTTATCTTCCTTTAAGAGCACACTTGAGCAGCCAGGTCCTCATGCTAGACCGTTTGCAGTCTGTCTGGTGCCCAGCATTCTCACATGTCCTCCTCTGTTCTGCTGGCTTCACACAGCTGGAATTTTCTCTTCTGACCCCAAGACCTGTCTAATTTACATATATATGTATTCTTATATTTATTAATACTATCAGCATTTTCTCATTTAGCCTTTATAAAACTCAGGCACCAGGGCTGGGGATTTAGCTCAGCGGCATAAGCACCTGCCTTGCAAGCAGGCGGTCGTGAGTTCGATCCCCGGTACCGATAAAAATGAAAAAGACCGGAAAAAAAAAAAAAAAAAAAAAAAAACCTCTGGCACCAAATTTATCAAAGCTCAGACAAGTAATTTGCACATGGCTAATATATAGACAGAAATGCACCTCACAGACTTCTCTTAAGCGAATTATTACACAGATAAAGTGCTCAGAGGAGTGCCTGACCCAGAGTAAGTGATCAATAAGAGCCTGACTCTCACTAATGGCCAGCACTATACCACACTGCCACACCCTACAGCGAGTGGGAGAAAGCAAAAAATGTCTGAATTTTGAGAAAACAATTATCTCATTACATGCACTGAAAAATAATTTATCCCTTTGAACTCAAGACCTTTGATTCGGGTATATTCAGAGGCATCTATAGCAGAGTAACACCTTCGGGAACCCTCAAAACAATTACCGTAGGCCCTCAAGGTTATGTGAGCCTCCTCATGCCTATTTTCCTGAAGGGACTCGCCTGTCACAGTCACAGAGGATGAGGTGGCTGTTCAGCTGGATCCCCGCATGGCAGCCCCGAGACTGCTCGCCCTCAAAGCTCCCGCTTCGATAGCCGCTGGTTGTACAGCAACCTGCAGAGCTTTGCCAGTCTGAGAATTTCTTGTTTACTGCAGAGGTAAGAAAAGATGCCAAGGGCCTAAGAATCACACCTATTTGACTTTAAGCCTCCCCAGCACACACTGGGGACGGCTTCTCACAGACCACAGAAGAAACATGCAAAGTACTTTTACCAATAGCAAGCATCCTTGTGCGCCGCTCTACCCTGAGAAGCAATGAATGGCTCCTCGCAGTTCTCAAATTAGTGCAAAGAAGGGGAGGGCCAGTCTGGCCATCAGAATCACAGACAGTATCACTGGTCTCGGCATGTCCACCAGCGCACAGAGAACTGGCAGCCCAGCAGGTCACGCCTGGCTTTCCCAAGCTCAGTCCAGCAGGGCGTGCAAAGGGGAGACCTTGTCTCACCGCCCGCAGTGATTCTCATCCTTTCCATCATTGTCATAGTGGGCGTCACATTTAAAGCAATAAGGGACACAACTGCAGAAGACACGGGAAATAAGAATGAACCCTGTTCTGCCTCAACTCAGAGATGTCTGGACTTAGGGGTGAGGGTGGTTTCACTGGGCTCTGGCATTTTGTACATAAGGTGCCTGCCACAAACACTGGAATGTCCCCAGAAGTGTTCCTGCCATCTTGGAACTGAGGCCCGTCCTTAAGTTAGCTTGTGCCCTCTTCAACCTCCCAGCAAATAGAGTTCCCAGATCCCATAATCAAATCCTGCACCGACCACGGCTGGCACAGTGTCAGTTGCAAGCTGAAACCCACCATCGCCACCATGTCTGTCTCCTCTGACTCCAAACGCCAGGTCTCCTGATTTCTGAGGCTGGGCCCAGAGAAGCTGCCGTGTTCAGGCTCTACCCACTGAAGGCATTCCGCCACCAAAACTCAAAAGCAGACTGCAGAAAAGCTTCATGAATTTTTCACAAGATTTATCTGATAGTGGCTGAGCCGAGCTGAGAAAGCCCCAGTCCAGTGCCTGTGCCAGCAGCTCGCAAAGAGTTAACCCATTAGGCCACATCCTGGTGAGCTCATCCCGGCTGGAGCCTGCTGGCTCGGTTGCTGGGATTTGCAGTGCAGTGAATGTGGCTGGGGTGTCTTTCCCTGGCTGGGATGAAGGACTTGAGCAGAAACTCACCACTGGCTTCCTCCCTGTATGGACATCAAGCAAGTCCCAAGATCCCTATCTTCCCCTGGGATGCTTAAGGACAGTAAGTAAAAGAGGTGAGGTTCCCCAGTGGCCTTCCTGTCGTCTCCTAGGAAGTGAAGAACTGGGTTTAACTTTGCTCTGGGGTGTGCTGAGTCTTTGAACTGGAGTTGGAAGGCAAATCTGCCTTGGGGTGTGGGCGCGGTAAGGCCAGCTGCCAGCAGGCTGGCGGGTAGAGAGCACCGCTTCCTGGCCTGCTAAGAGTGGTGGAGGGGACAGTGGTCCACAAGGGGAGGTGTGTGGAGCGTCCACTGCTGTGCGCTGAGATGAAGGAGACTCACATACTGAGGGATGATTCATGCAGTGTACATAACCAGGCCTGCCACCCTCGTAAACCAGGGTAGACGGTGAGCAGGAACTCTGGTGACAGGAACAAAAGGGCCGACATGGGACACAAAGCCACCTGCTTTTAGTGCTCTCAGACTCGGCCTGTCCTCCCGGGCACTCACATCTGCTCTCAGCAGCTTCAAACCAATCTCTCTTCCCTGCAGGTGTGGTCAGTGCCCCAAGTAGGAGTCAGGAACACAAGGTGGAGGCCAGCAGCTGGGCAGTCTCCATCTCAGAAAGAGAAAACAGGCCAGGTGCATGAAAATATAGACACACACACACACTCAGGCAGGCAGACGCGGGCTGCAGGGCCCCGTCTCTGAGTAAAGCTAGTCATGACCACACTCACAGCTGTTTCTCCAGAGCTGGTCTTCTGCTCTGCTGCTCAGCGCTGCCCATGTGCTGGCCGTGTGTCCTGCAGAGGGAGGGGAGTGGTACCCTCCAGACTGACTAGGACCTTAGGGACAGTCCCGCACTGTGAGCTGCATGCTGACAGCGTGGCCTATTCCAGAGCTCTGGAGCCTTTACTTTAGCAGCCAAGGCGCGGGCCCTGCTCACCTTATTGGAGGAGTGAACATCACCAACTCATGTCCTGCTAAGGGGAGGGGAGGACAGTGCAGCTCAAGAAGGTAAAGACCCTCGGCACGGCCACTGATGAGCTGGAGCCGAGGGGCCCAGTGGGAGGAGAGGGGACCCTCTGCTTCTCACCCTCCAGGCTCCTCCTCTGGAGTGAGTGATGCCCTCCACCACCTCTGCCCCACAGCCTGCCCTTCCCTCCTCTCCCACCCCTCTGCCACCCGTCCTGCTTCGCCACTCTGAGGTTGTCTGTGCCATGTCCTCCGCCTGGCCATTCCCAGAATAGCCCAACTCCTAGCAGAACTCTTGGTGGAGGGGGCCAGGAGGAGAAACAAGAAGAACCTGATAACTCCAGCCTGTGTCCCCCAGCCTGTCCCTGTGTCTATTATGCTTGTGTGGCTTGTCACAGGACACCCAATCCAACTGGGATTTCTAATAAGCCAAGAATGCTGCTTTTGGTCTATGCACACTCCGTGCCATGCTGGAACATTCTCATACTTTAAAAAGCTTCTGTTGTTTATTTGAAACTCGAATTCAGCCAGACATCCTGTAATTATATTTGTTGAATCTGGCAACCCTGCCTAATACTGACCATGTTTCAGCACATTTAGAGAAGGATGGCCTCGGAGCAGGGCTAAGGACCCAGCTCTGAAGCACAGCGGAGCAACCAGAAAGGCCAGGAGAATGTCAGGGAAGGAAAACACAAAGGCAGGCTCCTTCCTTGGGAAGGTGTGAGCCACTGTGTAAAAAAGCCTGGGATTTGGGGTCCAGCAGCTATGGGCCTCAGTTTCCTGGTCTGAGATATGGGAGCAATACCAATAGTACTGCCCTTATGGCACCGTGCGGACTCAAAATGATGTTCCATGTAAAGAAGCAGCACATACCAGGGCACCTGGCTCTTCACTGGTGGTGGCTTCGTGGCTCCTCTGTCACAGGGCCCTCACTGCCCTGCTCAATCACTTCTCGCTCCTCCCGCTACCCACAGCCCCAGGCCCGACTTCCCTTCACTCAAAGAAGCTACCACTGCAGTTCTATTTGCTGTCTGCATCCCAGTTTGAGTTTCTTTTTTCCTCAATTTGGAAAGAAAATCCTAATTTCCTCCAAGGAGGAGTGGGTTGGACTTGAATCTGAACTCTGGAGCCAGACAAGCTCAAAATTCAAATCCCCATTATCTCTCTACTTACCTTTGGGGAAATTACTTACACTTCTCTGAGCCTCAGTTTCCTCATCTGAAAAATGGGACAACAGTCGTGCCTTCTTCAGAGACTGTCAGGAGGTTTCAGTGAGGCAGTGCAGACCTAGCAAGCACTCAGCTGGTTCCCAGCACACAGAGAAAGGTGGATAAGGAGGAGTTACTATTGTGTGACATTGCTTCTAATTTGAAAAGGCTGCAGCCTTGGGGTCCTAGGACACTGTAGGAACTCTGGCCCACAGAAGGTGACCAGTTTTGATGGGGTGAGCTGCGAACCAGAGGACAAGATGGAGCAGGGCTCAAAAGTGTGGCCCAATACCAGCCTGCCTGCATCTTGTGCCCGCTGCCCACCACCAGAGCTGCCCTTACTACCCCGCTCTAAGGTCAGAGGGGCTTGTTTACAACAGTCAGGTGGGCAGATGCCTGAACGGTGGCCCGCACTGCAGTGTGAGCCAGGTTCTAACCCTCTGCAGCCCCCACCGGAAACTGGAGAGGAAGAAAATTCTCAGTAACTGCTCTGCAGGCCACCTGCAAAGCCCTCTCTACATCTCCCCGACATTATTCCTGTATTTAATCAGGCCAACAACTGTCCACTGAGTCCTGAGCCTCAAGAGAAGTACTGGGTGGCTGCTTTGCAGAAGGCTGAGGGAAATCCAGCCCTGACCCTTGAAGAGCTCTGACAGGGAAGGCAGGATTTCCAGCATCCTAAGTTCAGACACATATCCGGTCATCTTCAGGGTGATTTATCTCACTTACCGTCACTATCCTATTAAATTGTCCCTTTGAGACACTCAAGAATCGACTGGAGGGGAAAATATCACCCCTAATTATTATTATCATTATCATTATCATTATTATTATTCACCAGCTTGCAGATCTTAGCACCAAACCATAGCTTGGGGTATAAATAGTGTAAATACATGAGAAAAAGTCTCAATTTTTCCACCTACATATTCTTCTTCGTTCTCCTTAAAACATGACTTCCTCTTCCACACGATCCCACACCCACGAATGGAAGGTACATTTCCATTCCCCTAGGAAATCCCCAGAGCTGCCAGTCTGCTCCTCCTCACCTTGACCTCCAATTCTGAGCTTTACCACTGTACTTGGTGCTTAGCTGGCTCAGGACACCATGTAAACAGTAACCTGCAACTACATAGTCTTTTAGACCTGATTTTTTTCTAGCGTATCTGTGAATTTCATCCATGCTGTTGTTTATATCAAAAACTAGTTCCCTTTTCCTGTTTAGTCAAAGTCCAGTGTGTGAATATACACCTATTTTTCCTTTCTTCAACTGGTGGATATTTGGATTCAATTTTTGGCTCATCTAAATAAAACTTCTGGGAATATCTTTACAATGCACTTTTATTCTTCTATATTGTGACATGTAACACATTGATAGCAGGAGCTGGTACACACACAGACCACATCCCGACCCTGTTTACTTCTCCTCCTCCTCCTCTCCCTCTCATCCCCGCTAACCCAGGCCCTTCCCCATCTCCACAGGCCATCTCCCTGGTTATTATTACTTACACGTCAGTTTGCTCTTTAAATTACTTATACTTTTGAATTTCTCACGTAAGAGAAACCTTGCCACGCTGAACCTTCTGTTTCTGATTTATCTTACTGAGCATTATGGTCCCAAAATACATCCATTTTCCTATAATTGCACCCTTCTGCACGCTGAGTAGCCCCCTGTTTTGTACACACAACATTCAGAAGTTGATGGACATATTGGGTCATTTCAATATTTAACTATTATGAGCCATGTTCTATGCATATTCTTAAGTCTTTGTGGACAAGTTTCCACTTCTGTTGGACAAGTAAATATTGAGGAGAAGAATTGCTCGACTCAAGGGTAGGTAGATGCTTAAATTTATAAGAAATTACCAACTTCGCCTGCTCACAGAGCTCTGGTTGGTCCATTCTCACCCAATCACATGGCACGATCTCGCCAATCACATGGCGCGTTGTGTGATTTTAAATGTTTTACTTTTCTGGTGAGTGTGTGGCAACATCCCCTTGTGAGTTTAATCTCCATCGCCCTGTTAAATATCAACATCCAGTAGTTTTCCATGGGCTTCTATTTCATTTTGTATCAGGTAATGCCCTATTTAAATATTTTGCCTATTATTTAATTAATCTTCTTGCATTCTTATTGGTCAGCTATAATGAAACATACATACTGTACAAATATTTTTTCCCAAGTCCAGAGCTTGCATTTTATTTCCTTCACAAAATCTTTTAATGAGAAGACATTTTCAATTTTGATAGCATCTGATTTATTGCTTGTCTCTGTCCTAAGAAATCATTGCCTGCCTCTGGGTTACAAAAATATTCTCCTGTTGTTTCCCCAAAAGCTTTATGGTTTTAGCTTTCACGTTCCAGTTAGGTTTATGACTCATCTCTGATTAATTTTTGTTGGCAGTGTGAAGTCATTTCATTTTTTTCCATATGAATATTGAGTTGTTCCAGTAGCATTAGCTGAAATGCCAGTCTTTTCCCTGTTGAATTCCTTTGATGCTTGAAGATCAATCATCTGCTATGTTTTTTTCCACCTTCCTCCCTTCCTCTGCCTTGCTTGGTGCCTCTAACCAGGCCATGAATAGACTCTTCCTTCAAAGCAGGATGCGGAGCCCAAGTTACACCACCAAGCCACATCATCACAGGATTCTGAGTACCTTGGGTGGGACCATAGACCTCTCAGATCCAGACCAAATCCAAGAGCTATGAATCTCCTCACTCAGATTCTGGGCTGAAGCAAATCCTGCTGCCAGCTTCCAGTGGGATTAGCATTTCTTGAGATTTCAGTGTAAGATTGAGGGAGACTTGGATGCCTTACAAATGAGTCTGAGAGAGCCTCAGTCCACCAGGGGACTGCCAGTATTTATTCCTGTATTTAATCAACACTTTCGGCCCTTCCTTACAGCCCTGACATCCCTGACCAATGCCAAAGCATGAGCACCTGACCGTGTGTTCTTTCAGGTCACGAATCCACCTCATTCTAAATGCTGCGCCCTTCAACCTGGCTCTTACTTTGAGGCTACAATATTAAGACTGCAAAACCCAGAGACTTTCAAAAGGTACCCTTCTTCATTACTTGTAAAACGTAGGACTTTCACCCTCTACTTGGAGGAAAGAAAATTTACTTATTCAAACGAGTCAGAGTCCTAGAGCAGGTGGAAAGCACCTGGTCCCACCAGCCACACCTCTCGGTTCTGTGTCTGGGAGGAGGCTTTTTGTTGCTTTGCATAGGAAAGACATTGAAAGTTGATGTGAAAGCCAATAACAACCCTCTTACCTTTCCAAAGAAAGGCCATCTATTTACATTTGAGTTTCAGAAAAACAATAAACATCTGTACAGTGTAAATGAACTAGACATTATTTGAGATAAACATATTTGGAGGAAGAAAAAAGTACCTGCATTTGTTGTTTATCTCAAGTTCAAAATTATCTCAGTTCCCTTATTTTATCTGGCAACACTGCCCCTATTCCATCTGTCCATAGACCCTAATTTTTTCCCCAAGGGTTTTGCACCTGGGCTCACAGCCTTTCGGTCACATCCTGCCGCCCCATCTCCCTGCTTAGTGGTCATCCAATCTGTGGACATCTTTCCCTTTCTAACAGAGGCCAGGCATCCTCCCCTCTCCCCTAACCCTCTCCAACAGCCTCCGAATTGTTCTTTCTGCCTTACCGTCCTGTCTTCTCTCCATTCTTTATCCCAAAGCTGCAGTCATGTTCCTACTATGAAAATGAGTCCACATCGCTCCCCTTACCCAACCCCTTTCCCTGGTCACTATTTACCCTGGCTCTTAAGACTTAGGTCAGGAGTTGATACGCATTTTTGTGTAAACCCCAGTCACGAGTATGTTAGGTTTTGCAAGCCACAGGATCTCTGTTGAACCTCCTGAAATTACAAGGCAAATGTAGCAATGGAGAGGACATAAATTTGTTATTTGTAACAGAAAATTTTTAATTTTAGTATTATCTCTTTTACAAAAAGATTTTTTGAGATAGGGTCTCAGATGTAGTACAGGCCAGTTTTGAATTTACTATGTAGCCCAGGCTGGCCTCAAATTGGAAGAGATTCTCCTGCCTCAGCCTCCAGAGGGCTGGGATTATAGACATGCACCACTGTGCACAATTCTTTCAAAAATATTATATTCAAAATATTTATTCAATATTATAATTCAATGTTATATTTTTATTTGAACATTTTAAGAAGAATGCCCATGACTTGTAGGTGGTCCAGAGGCAGAGAATGAACCACAGGTGCCTAACCTTGGATCTATATGCACTGGCTTCTGTCTCGATTTCCATTCTCATCCTTCAACACTTCCCCCCTCCTCACTCAGCACTCAGCACTCTAACCCACAGCAAAAACAGGCTCCTTATAGGACCCCGGACAAGCCACACTCTACACAGTGCTTCTGCGTAGAAGTCCCTCCCCACAATTCTTGCTAGCCCTTGCTCTGAGTAAGCCCTTCTTCAGGAGCTTTTCTGAGGATCTCCAAGGCTGGGTTTGTGCCTCCTTTGGTACCCGCACAGTGCTCCCAGCCCAGCTCTTTGCAACAGTCATCACTAATACAAAGGATGTCTGCTTTCTGCTTGATCTTTTCCTGCTGGTTTGAAAGCTCCAAATGTCTGCCACTGTGTCTCACTTTAGCCTGTCCAGTGTTCAGTTCCATGCTTGTCAATAGAAAGGCTTGAATAAGTACGTGCGGTGGTCAAAACAAAATAGAGGTCTTTAAATGTCCTCACACAAAAAATTATGTTAAAGGTGATGGGTACGCTGATTACCCTGATTTGATTCGGTATCCAGGGGGCATTGATTCTTGTAGACACTGCAGGGTGCAGAGCTGTGACTGTCACCTGGATCAAAGCATCAGGTTGGAAGCCATATGGCTTTTATCTGTCAATCAAAAATGTTTTTAATGCTTTCAGTTAAATAAGTTAGATAGAATAAGTAAGAAACAGACAAAGAAGTCACTGGGGGAAAAGTACGACCACCTTTGCTTCATCTGACCTTTTTTTCAGAAGTGTCCCCTTCTCAGCTTCTTAGCGCTAAAAGTGGCTGCAATTGACCTGACTTTGATGAGCAACAGCCATGTGGAGGCTGCAGACTAAAGATGCCTAGGGACCCACCTATTAGTGGAAAAGAAAGACTAGACAGGGTTTATAGTTTACACGAAAGCAGAGACTCACCCAGTCCGTGTTCAAAGTCCCCCAATTACCTCGTATACCTTTGTACCATTGCTTCGTGCCAGTCAGAACCCAAAGAAAGGGACTCTCTGCATTTAGCTGTAGCTTTTAATTTTCTTGGTTTAAGCATTTTGTGGGCATCAAAGGCGCACCCAGAAAGTGGTCACACCACGAGTGTACCACTCCACTAGTACACACCCATGAAACCAGTCACCAGGTTGGGAGTAAGAACGCTGGCAGCTCCCCAAGTCCCCTCCCATTCCCTGAACCCACCCAAGAAACCCCTATCCTGACCTTTCCTAGTATACACTGCTTTATATGTTTTGTGTGCAGACAGAATCACGAGGCATGTACTCTTCTTGTGTGTGGCTTATTGGTGAGATTCCCGAGTGGAGTTCACCCACTGTTGTGTTTAGCTCCAGACCAGTTGTTTTTCCTGGTGCTGGGCTATAACTTGCTCATCCCTGGTTGTATATCTAAATAAATCTTCACCCACCAAACCAGTTTCCTGGCACTCCAGCCTTGGCCTATGGTGATGGGAGGAGAGAACTATCAGCCCTTCTCAAACTGCTACCGCAAAGGCCAGTTGACATCCCAATCCTGGTTAATGCAGAGGAACCAGCTCCTGCAGCCTTCCACAGGCCCAGCCTCTCATGGGTTCTCAGTCCTTGTCCACCTCTGGAGACCTTAAAGGAAGCTGGGTGTGTGCATTTTTTACGGGCTGCCGTAAAACAATTACTACAAACTTAGTAACGCACAGTGTGGGACGCTTATTCTCAAACAGTTTTTACAGGCTGTAAGTGCAAAGCCAGGGTGGCAGCTGCACAGGTTCCCTCCTGGGGATTCTGAGGGAGAAGCCATTCTCGCCCCCTCCCAGCTTTGCTGGCAACCTTTGGCTTTGCACTGCTTCAGCCTCCGCCTTCCCTTCGTCCAGGCCTTTCCTCCATGTGCTGACTCCCGCTTTCCGTTCTGAGAGCAGCAGTCACAGGACCCACTCCAGCCCAGAGTGACCTCACCTCCAGATTCTTGTCATTTTAAGCAGATAATTCCAGGTGTGTCCTTTTGGAAATTTAATTTTATTCATTATTTTCCCCTTTTTATTAGTGTACATTTGCAGTGCATAATAAATACATCCATCACGGAGACGTGGTGCATATGCACATGACACCTGATCCTTTTTATCTCTCCTGTCCTTCCCCTGCTCCCTTTCTCCCATCCCAGGTCCCCTTCCCATCTCCACATAGATCCTGTTTCCTATCATCTATCTCTTGCCTTCAAGAACCTTGTCTTAATACTCTCTGCAGTGATCTCTAATCCCAATGAAGTCACGCTCTGGAGTGCTGGCTGGACACCTCTTAGGGAATGTAACTCAACATACTATGGTGGGTGAAGGGGCTCCTGAGAGGCACATGACCTAAATTAAATGTGAAAAAGTGACCTTGTCTTCCCCCCACACTGAGCCACAGCATCTGGGCTGAGTCCCCTGAGCACCTGCAAAGTGTCAGACTACCAGCCAGGGGTGCTGTGGGTTGGAACAAAACCCATCCTCTGCCCTAAGGCAGTTACTGACCAAGGGGAAAGGGAAGGCTCACAGGAGCAGTGGTTCTTCATTAGGGTGATTTTGCCTCCAGGTCACCTATGCAGACTTTGTTTTTGCAGCCATGGGTGGGGCACGTTTGGCTTCCAACAGATAGAAGCCATGGATGCTGCTGAACATGCTCTATGCAAACACCCTGCAAATCTACAGGCCCTTATGGCAATCAGTTATCCACTCCAAAATGTCAACAGTGCCTCTGGTGAAAAATCTTACCATACAGACATGTCTTATTGATGCTCTCAGAACCCGGGAGCCCATGGCCCCCACGGTGACCCTGCAGCCAGGTGACACTTCCTGTTTGAGACGCTGGAGTCCCCCTCATGCTCAGAGGGCCAGGGCTGCTAACAGAGCAAGCCTTTCCCACCTAGCCCCGCTGTCTTCTCAGGAACAACACAGAACTGCTCCTCCATAACGTCTACCTGAGTCTTCACTGCCATGTGCTAGACACAGCTGCCCAGGAGAGAGACCCTGCTGAAGATGACCTAGTTTCCCATTTGACACCAGGTTGTAACAAGCAACTCCAGGCTTCTGTGCACTCGGGGTGATCCTTTCCATACCATCCACGCCCACAGGGGAGACCACTTGTCATAAGACAACATAATTTATGCAAACGTAGCTCGGGCGAAAAAGAAGCTAGCATCCATGTGCCTGTGGTGACAGAAGCCTGTGGAAGCAAAGTGTTACCTGCCCTCTCTGTATTCTTGTGTTCGAATGTGAGTATCTAACTTCTGGAAACACTGGTCATCTATAACCTCTCATTTTAAACAGTCGGGTCATTTCGCTTTCAGGATGTGGGCTCAGGCCTGAGTGGCCAGGATGCAGTGGGGGAGGCTAAAAAGATTACCTCAGAGCTAGCATTGTAAGAAAAAAAAATTTAGTAAAAGAGAAGTACCTTGATTAAGAGGAAGGGGCAGGCTCCAGGTCATCAGGGGTTAGGGTTCACCAGCTCCTCACATCACCTCCTTTACCCTAATTTCTCTTGTGCTCTGGAGCTGGTAAGTTGGTTTCCAAAAATGCAACCTCACGATATTTGAATCTGACCCCAGTCCCCTCGATGGAGGTGGGGCGGGGATTCTTTCTGAATGTAGTCACTAGCCATCCTTCCTCAGTCAACTCAGCTCTGGAAAGAAATCTCTTGAATCTCACTCCCAAATGGGTGTATCTGTAAATGCTGCTCTGAGCCAGGAAGGGTGGGGGCGGCCTGGGATTATCACAAAGGAGGCGTCAGACTCCTGCGAGGCGGAACGTGGCTTGCACTAGTGGGGCAGGTCCTAAATGTGTCCTAAGTGACCAGTGCAAAGGGAAGGTGTGCACTCACTTACTCATTCAGGATACACACAGTCTCGTGGGTGTGAAGCATTGTGCTAGACGCTTGGTGACAGCTCAGATCTCAGTCACAGAAGTGACTTGGGGAAAACCTCTGGACAGCGACCAAACCTCCTGGGTCTTTCCTTCCTCCCAAACAAAGCCTGTCTCCAGAAATGTACCCAGCACAGCCATTCACATCTTATTACCTTGTATTCTTAGGCACACTTGAATCCGAATTTCTAGTTACCAGATAAAAAGCTTTAACCTAATGTTAAAAGACTTCAAAGCAGCACAGGTCTGATGGAAAAGTTTTGGGCAGACAAGTGGTTCCTCTAAGCAGCCAGGAACTGCCCCACACAGGCTACCGTCTATATCCACCAAGACAAGGTGACTGAGAGTTAGGTAGAGCTCTAGATGGGGACCTGGGGAGGCAGCGGCTGAGAAAGACTCCATCCCTTTCCAGGAATAAGAATACTGTATTAGTCTATTTCCCACTGCAGTAACTGGGGCATCACTGCCCTGTGCCTAGAAAGCCTTCGGAATCAAAGGCTGCACTAAGTAATATCCCTAACTGTCACATAGACTGGAGTTCCAAGCGCAAAAGAAAATTCCTTATCTAGTTAAAGAAGTTCTTCACTGCTTTGGGCCCCAGATTTCTATCCGTAAGATCAGGCTAAAGCTTAAGATACAGTTCTAATTGAAATATCATGGCTTTATAGAGTTTAATGCAGAGTCTGGCACATACACATGCATGTGTGCATACACAGGCACACTTATGTATAAAATATCACTCCTCCCATAGGGAAGTGGTATCATTTATGGAGAATTTGTCATAAGCTGGTCATTGATCCAATGCATTGCACACCTTAACTTCAGCTTTTTCAAAGCCCCTGTGAGAGAAATAGTATTATTAGTAGCTCACTTTATATATAAGAAATATAAGACAGATTGAGTAACTTCCTCAAGATCATATGGTTAGGGGCTGGGGTTTTAGCTCAGTGGCATTAAGTGCCTGCCTTGCAAGTGTGTGGTCATGAGTTTGATCCCTGGTACTGATAAAAAAAGAAAAAGACCAAAAAAAAAAAAAAAGATCATATGGTTAATGTAAAGATCTCAAGGTTCTTTGGTCAGTGACAGTTATTATTAGGTAATTGTATGCTAATAATTTTAATATTTGGTTTATATTTCACTGAAGGTGGGCAAGTGTTTCATTCCTTACTTTGTCTTTCTTGAATATTTTGGTTCATTCCAATTTCTTAAGTATAATTCCATGCCATTTGATTAGGTACAATTTTTCCTTATCTTCTGAATACTTCCCTGAATACTTGTTTTGATTTTCTTGACAGCCTTTGCAAATTCATCTTTTGGGTAATATGTACAGTGTTTTGACATTTATGTTTTAATGACACATAAGGGCTTCAAATTTCATAAGGCTAGAATTCATTTCATCTCAGGAAAAGCATCAGGCAGTAGATGGCCCCTGAGCTGGCGTCTGAAAACGAGGTGTCACTCAATAAACTGTAGCTGTAATTTGTTTTTAAATGGCATTATACTTCCTTGGTTTAAATATTAAAATTGGTTGATTAGAATGACATAATATTTATCTCTCATAAGAAAAAGCAAATATATCCGTTTGGATGGTGCGTTATTTATGTGGGATTTTATCTGGTTTTCTTTTAGCTTTAGCACAAAAGCCCTGCACGGGAGGCAGATGCTGAGTACCCAAAGTGGGTGTGAAGATTCCCTTTGGCCTCACCCTTGACTCTCTCGCCAGATCTTGGTGCCTGGTCCTAAACATTGGTGACCATGGAGGAGCTCCCCAAGGTCCTGGAAGTTGACGAGAAGTCCCCAGAATCCAAGGACCTGCTGCCCAGCCAGACTGCCAGCTCCCTGTGCATCAGCTCCCGAAGCGAGTCGGTCTGGACCACCATCCCCAAAAGTAACTGGGAGATCTACCGCAAGCCCATTGTCATCATGTCCGTGGGCAGCACCATCCTGCTTTTTGGGGTGGTCCTCACCTGTTTGGCCTATCTCCTACAGATAAGCAAAAAGACTGAGACAGTCCTCAAGATGATAGGGCCTGCTTTTCTGTCACTAGGGCTGATGACCCTGGTGTGCGGGCTGGTGTGGGTGCCCATCATCAAAAAGAAGCAGAAGCAGAGGCAGAAGTCGAATTTCTTTCAGAGCCTCAAGTTCTTCCTCCTCAACCGCTAATGCAGCTTGACCAGGAGAAGGAGATCTGATGACCAACACCCAGCAGCCCCACCCACTCCACGGGGTGCCACAAAACTAAATGCAGGCAAACTCCCATCTTGGCCAATGCAGCCTGGGAATGATGCTGACTGAATTTCGCTTGGTTTCTGTCGCATCAAGGGATCCCTTAATACTTTAGTTGCTCTCAACCTGTGCTCCTGTGTCAAATCACCATACATGGAACTGTCAGCCAAGTGCAGTGCATGCTGGGAAACTCCTTGAAGATGGACTGTGCTTCCAAGAACCTCGTGTTTATACATCTGTGTATATGAAATGGATTCCACAGTTACAACCTTCTGAAACCAAAACTAGCCAATGGAAGGTCTTTACAGAGGAGAAGAGAAGCTATGCTCTGACCCCAATAGGTTAAGCAGTCCTAGCTCCTTTAGCGAGTGAGACACTGATTTACATTTCAGGAGACCAGAGGATCACAAGTATCAAAATTTACAAGCATCAAATATTCCAAGGGACCATGGAGGAGCTCCCCAAGGTCCTGGAAGTTGATGAAAAGTCCCCGGAATCCAAATATTCCAATGGGAAAGCATTTTCCAAGAAGGCACATTTGGCTGGACGTGGCTTTGGGAGTCCTGCATCTGAGGAAGCTTCATTTCAGATCATGTGGTATTTATGGCAGAGACAACGGGGTAGACTGGGGATGGAAGTGTCATGCTTTCCCTTTGACCTACAAATTTCCCCATCTCACTGGCTGCTTTCACCTGGCAATTAGCGCAGGACAAATGCATGTTGTCCTAAATCCTCTTTCAGTCTCTCTCCTACCTCTGCTCCTGTTTCTAGAGCAATGAAGTGGAAACCTACAAAGAGATTCTGTGTAATTATTCTCCGCACCATTTCCGTCAGCACCCAAACTGGAAAGATTAAAACCCACATTCAGTGGTTTGTAAGTTTCTAATGAACAGATTCATTTTGTAAAATTCCAACTTCTGTTACAGCTGCCCTCACCCATCAAACAAACAAATGTTTATGAAGTGCCCTGCTCGTGGCCAGGTTCTGGGGTAAGAGAGGGCTAGATCCAGTCCCTTTTCTCATTATGCTTCCCAAAGTGAGAAACACAGCCAAAGTAAATGGCAACTGGGAAGTCCTGTGCTGAGTTATTGTGGTGGCTATGGGAAAAGAGAGGTCTAACTCAAACCTGAAAGAGGACAGAGTTACGAGGAGGTTGAGTCATTCAACTAAGTAGAAAAGGAAAGGTAAGAATTAGCAAAGAGAGGAAAGGAACTGTATCAGAGAGCAGGACCAGCCTTGCAAACACAGCAGCTCAGGGGAAGAGGGAACACGATAAAATGGGGAACCGCCATGACTTCTTCCCTGAACCCCAAGATGTTCTGCTGCTTCTGCTGTTGGTCTGCTTCCCACCTACTGCTCCAAGTCCTTACATGCAGTTGATCCTGGGGTACTCTGTGGACCTCATTGGAGACTGAAGTGGGGTCTCCTGAGGGCCCACCAAGCAGGGCACCCACAAGCTAAGTGCTCCCAAAATTTCCTCTAGCAATCAAGAGGCTGTTACGTGTAGGACCAGGAGAGCATCCCGAGACAGAGTTACCCAGGCTGCCCTAGACCAGGCCAGAGGTCCAGAGGAAAGAATCTGATGATGCGATGAGAGAGTAGAGCTGCTTGTGCTGAGCTGACTTTTACTTCTCGGCCTTTCCAGGCCTCTCTACTCACCCTGGCAACCTCTCTCTAGCAGGCTTCCAGGGATCCCCATTCCTCATAACAGCTCCGCATGCAGGGTCACAACCCAGCCTCATTTGCTGCACTGTGAAAAGTTCCTTAGAGACAAATACCTGTGTGGGGGGAAAACCCATTGCTTTCCTAAACCAGAGCCTGGGGTGCCCACAGCCTCTCAGGCCCACCTAGGATGACCATGTCCATCACTGAGAGACAGATCAATGTGGCCAGGTACGCTAGCCTCCCAGTTCCCTGCAGATGGGCAGATGTGGATCCATGTTAGGGGTGCTGCGTCACTAGTTGGAGCTGTGGTGACTCAAGCAACAGGGCTCGTGGGTCATCTCCCTCTCTCCTGAGATGAGCACAGATTGCAGATCGCCCTTTAAACAATGTGCTTGCAGCTTCTTTGGGGGGAGGGGACACAGGATGGGCTCCCAGCTAGCTTGTCTGAACACGCCCTGTACCTCCTCTCATCCATGTGAAAGCCATAGTCCGGGTACAGGTGTGGATGGAGGACCTATGCAGATGTTACCATCAGCTGTGTCTTAATAGGAAGAAATCTGGGGCAACCACAACTCTAGAAGACATCCAGGGGTTTTGGAATCCTCTTGCAGTCTCCAGAAGTACCTGCCCCCATTCCCTCTTCCTCAAGTTAGGTTCTAAGCAGAGAACAAGCAGGAAACACTCACAAGGACAGATGCCCAAGAACCACTCCCATGGGACCCCTTGCAAGAGTCAGGGCAATGGAGTATGCTGGCATCACCCCGAGACAAAACACGGCAGAGAAGTTTGCCAGAGTTGGTTGCCCCATGAAAGCCTGGGAAGTGGCCTAACCTACAAGTGCCTCCACATTGGCCATCACAGTTCTGCAATAAAGCGTCCTCTGCAGTGACTCTGACAGTCTCCATGGATCGGAGGACAGGACCAGAATTCCCATCTTCAGTGCCCTGAGTTGTATTGTCTGTCTTACTCCCCATTGCTATTCTGTCTTGGAAAATTTAATCTCAACTGAAGCCTAAATGAATCAATGTTGTGTTCTATTAAACAGTGTCTGCTGTGTTTTCTTCTGTTCCAACAGGGATTGCACTCAATCTCCTCTAAAATACCCCACCATGTTGCCATATTTCTCCCAGGGTGCTGCCTGTATGCTTCCTGCAGATAAGTTTCTGACTCTTTCCATCCCTACAAGCCCAGTACTGGGATCAAACCAGTGACACAGAAAAAGAACCTTGCAAAAGTGAATCAGAGGTCTATGCAAGCTGGGCATCTGCTCCAGGGTCAGTTTGTTGATGTCCCAGGTCCACCTGGAGAGAAGCACCCAATGCAAACCTAAATGAAGAAGCCCCCAAAGGGTCCTACCTTTGTCCCTCAGCCCCAAGCCTGGAGCTGGTGCTCTGAGCACCTGCAGGGATTCCAGGATCCTTCTGGAATTTTCCTCCTACACAGAATGACACACAGCCTCTGTCTATCAGCCAGGCAGAACCTGGCACTGTGTTGGCTGCCCAAGTCTCCAGGATAGGACAGCTGGGTGTGTGGGACTGTGCTTGCTTCCCCCCTGGCCTGTAGGTGCCAGTGGAGGGACCCAGGCCACCTACCAGGATAGGTCTCCTGTGCCAGACATCAGCACTGGAGACGCAGTCACGCAGGTATGAGCTCTCACCTCAGCCATCAGACTGGTCCCTGGAGGAGACAGACAAAGAAACCATCTTGTGTGACAGGTCTGATCCAGACAGAGGGAAGCAGGAATACTCAGAGGATGGCACCAAGCCATTCTGTCCCCAACCTGCCTTTCTGGTCATCTGGAGTAGAAGCTGGGCTTTCACACCAGGGCTGGGGTACAAGAAAAGGGGACAGACTGTGGTTAGAGGTTAGTGCCAGCCTGGGGAAGACAACGTCCCTCGGATTACTGTCATTTTCCTATTTCTTAGTCAGGATCTTCATGCTTTCTCTGCAATCTGTTGATTATAGTCTTCACCTGTCCTGGAGAGGTGCTGAGTTGGAGGTGTATACGGGGGAGCTGTCAGTGACTCTCCTATACTGTCCTGAGATCTGGACATCAAAGAAACAGCAATGCCTTTTCCGGAAATGTTGGTCTCAAGGAAAATTCATCCCCAGATCTCATATCTTCCTTGTTCTAAACAGATCTATGCCTTTTTTTTTTTTCAAACAATGGATCCCATTCTTTTCTGTGTGATAGTGGCCCCCAAACCCATTCCCAAGCAGCTAAATGCCTATTGGTCACTGCATCAACTTCCTAATGTGTTTGTAAAAATATCAACATGCATTTAATAGCTTTAAGGCACATACATTTATCATCTTACCCATCCGGAGGTTAGAAATCCAAAGTGAATCTCAGAAGACTAAGCCCAAGGAGTAGTCAGGGTGACATTATTTCCAAGGGACCCAGGAGGGAAACCTAGCCCTTGCTTTTTCTAGCCAGCAGAAGCTGCCTGCATTCCTTGGTTGGTGGCTTCCTTCTCCCTCGAACCAGCAATCTAGCCAGTCTAGCCTCTTCTATCATCCTCTTCTCTGACTATCTTGACTCTTACTTACCTATAAAGATCATTTCACTGGGCTTGTGGGGGGCTCATATAAAGAGCTTGGATGGGGTTCCACGGATAATGCAGGATAAACTCCCAATCCCAAGACCCTTGTGTGAGTTTTTTAGGGCTGCTGAAGCAATACATCACAGACTGGGTGGCTTAAACAGGAGAAATTTCTTATCTCCCAGTTTTGGAGGCTGGAAGTCCAAGATGAAAGGGCCAGCAAGTTTGCTTTCTCCTGAGGTCTCTCTCTCTTTGGCTTGCAGATGCCACCTCCTCCATGTTCATATGGTCCTTCCTCTGTGAGGTCTGTGTCCTAACTTTATCTTTCCAGAGGAGCACCAGTCAGGTTGGAACAGAGCCCAACTTTGTGACCTCCTCTGGACTTAATTGCCATGTTAAAAAGCATACCTTCAAATACAGCCACATGCTGAGTTGCTGGGGGTTAGGACTTCAACACCTGAATTTAGCAGAGGTTCAATTGCACCTCTGAGTCACATCTGCAAAGTTTCTTTTGCCAAGTAAACTATTCACAAGTATTTGAATGTGAAGTAATATCTGTTTTTGGTTGTTTTGCTTTGTTTTTCTCTTTTTGAGACAGGGCCTTACTACACAATTCAGGGTGGCCTCGAACTCACTTTGTAGCCCGGGCTGACCTCAAAGTCAGTGATCCTCCTGCCTCAGCCTCCCAAGTGCTGGGATCACAGGCATGTGGCACCATGCACAGTCAAGAGATATCTATTTTTGAGCAACAACGAAAGGCAACATTTTGGCAACTGGTTGCAAATTCATATCTGTAACATTATTATAATTATTAGAGCTCTTAAGAGGCAGAGTCATTCACATATGTACATTTTCATTTAGAAGTTTGCTCAGAATCCACGTAAATACAAACCTCACAAAATTCAACCTCAACTTAGATCACTCTGGAACAGATCCATCCTCTTCTAGTGTTCATTCACTGGAAAGAGGGAAGCAAAAGACCCATTGAAGGTGCTGGGTAAAGGATGCCTCCTGGGTCTTGGCTTAGTAACCAGCCCAAGGATCAGCAGCAGGTGCAAGGCAAAATCAAGACTAGCACAGGGGTTTTCTGTTTATAAGAAATGAGGCCAGTTCCTGGAAAAGCCAGTGTGTGAGAAAAGAAACTGCCCTGACTGCGTGCAGGGAGGGTGTGGCTGCCCCCAAGGCCAGACAGGTTGCTGGAGGAGAAGGCAGACACACCCACTTAGTCCACAGGAGGAAAGGCCACAGCCAGAGAATGATGCCCCATGTGGGAAAGGCCTGGGGTGCACCTTTCCCCTACAGTCCATGAAGACAACAGTCTACTCCTTCACTTCACAGTTAACTACTGAGCACCTCCTCGGTGCTGCTCTGGATGTTGGGAAGAAGGACAGAAAGAAAACAGACAAAAAGCCCTCCATTCTAGAACATTCTCCTTGGGACGGCAGGGAGAATGTTCTAGAATAAAGGACGTCCTCCATTGAATAAAGTGGTGATGGAGGGGGGTATAATAGTAGATATTATGAAGTCAGGAAACAGGCTGAGAAGAAAAAGTGGGAGTTAGTGGTCCTTGACAGTGTGGCCATGGGAATGTTCTCTGGGGAGGGGACATTTGCTTTGAGAGGAGGAGATAGTCCAGTGAAAGTCTGGGGCAGAACATTCTAGCAAAGAAGTGAAATGGAAGAGCAGAAGACACTTGTGGGAGGTAAAGATAGTGTCTACTTTAGTCTGAATTTTAAATGTATCTCCAGAGGCCCGGGGGATCCTCAGGATAGCACTATTAGGAAATGCTATTAAGAAGCACAGCCTAGGGAAGGGAGGTAGGTCACTGGGGGCAGGCATTTGAAAAGGTGGAGGGCACCCAGTCCTGTCTCTCTCTGCTTCCCAGCCATCATAAGGTACGCAGCTCACACTGCAGTGGGCTCACCACCGTGGTGTGCCACCTGACCACAAAAAAGAGCTAATCCTCCCCGGACTGAAACTTCTGGACTTGTGAACTAGAATAAATCTTTTCTCTTTATAACCTGATTGTTTCTGGCATTGTCACGGTAGCAGACAGCTGGCCAACCAATGCTGTCTCCTCTTTTCTATCTCCTTTCTCCCCTTCCAACTACAGCTGCCATTCCAACCCTGGCCTGAAGGGCTATTTGTTGGGCACCATGCTGTCAGACCTGTAGCCAGTTGAATGATGCCTGTCATTCAGGTCCCCCGTCACACTTTCTTTGGTTCGTATGTCTGACTTTAAAAAAAAAAAATCCCTATGGTGACTTTAAAATAAATTTGGTAAATCAAAATTCTGAAACGTTTTAATCATGCAAGATGAATGCATGCGTGGAGTAGATCTGATGGAAGGTAAATCTGGAGGCACCATTAGCACCCAGCTCTGCAAACCAGAAAACTGGTACTCATCAGTGAACCCTTCCCTCATTCCTCGATCCAATTTGTCACTGTGCTGTGCTGATTTCACCCTCTGGCGATCTCTCAAATGGATGCACAAACTTCTAATCCCTTTTTCCCAACCCTCCTCCAGCCGGGTCCACTGAACATCCTCATTGGATGCCACACTATCTTCGCCCATCCCCTTCCTCTGTTCTCTACACAGCAGCCAGTGGCTTTCTGTAAAAATATGGACTGCTCCACTTCTGCTTAGTACTGTAATGCTCTCGAGCTTAATGTGTGTCTTTGACTGCTCTTCCTGCATCCAGCCTCACCTCTGCCTCCTCCCCTTCCCAGCCTCTCCTGTGCACCCTTTGCATCTCTGCGCAAAGATCAGGTCCTCAGGGATACATTGCTCTGTCCTCTTTCTCACGTTCTCATAAAATCATGGTCCTTTACCTCTGGCCACAGATCTCGGTTATATGGATGCAGTAATTTACACGATTGATTAGTGGGCTTCCCCACTCTCCTTCAAGCTCCCTGAAGCCCGGCATCATATTGTTCTTGCTTGCTGTATATATGGCTCAAAACTCTCAATGGTTTGGTTTGGCTTTGCCATGGAAAGAAAAAGAGATCATGCAGAAGGACTGTACTTGGAATTTTGTATTTGGATGCTTTCCCAGGCTAGTGGAGGCACGGGTCTCTCGAGAGATCCAGGTAGTAGCTATGAGTCTAAGCTGACACCCTCGCTATGGTGCCCAGCCATGAATTCAAAGCTGAGCACCAGTAGAAATAATCAACAAAACTAAATAGGAGTGGGGGTGCCCTAGAGGTAGAGCAGGCAGCAGAGGACCTAGAGAATACTGCAAGGTATTGTGTGGGAGCATTTTGCCTTGAAGGAGTTGTTGGGAATCACTTTCTCAGAAACAGTAGAAAAAGAAGAAAGAAAAACACAGAAGGTCTTTGCATGGAGTTGAAGGGATTCAGCAAAACAACCTAATCTTTCCAGTGTGCTAGGAGTATTCTAGGAGTTACAAAGCAAATATTCATTCAATAAACACCAGGTCTCCAAGGAGAAGACAGAGCCATTCCCTAACTAAAAGGGCAGCCGAGGAAGAAGACAGAAGCAAATTACTTCAATCACTGTAGCAAGTGCTGTTATAAAAGTACCTGTAGGGCCAGGGATTTAGCTCAGTGGCATAAGCGCCTGCCTGGTGAGCGTACAGTCATGAGTTCGATCCCTGGTACCGCAAAAAATAAAATAAAATAAAAAATAAAAGTAACTGTAAAATTAAACAGAAATCTACTTTTCGTTCTAGGATAAATATTGGAATAACTATTGTCAAAATTCAGAAAACAAGTTCCGGTGGGGATGTAAAGTTTTGAACTCTCCCACACTGCTGGGAGAAAAGTACCATGGTACAGCCACCTCGGAAAACAGAGATTGGCAATCCCATTTCTGGAATTGAACAGAACAAGACAGGGACTCATGCAGACATTTATATACCCATTTTACAACAGCATTGTTCACGGAAGTCAAAATCTGGAATCAATCCAAGTGTCTATCAACAGGCAAATGGATCAACAAGATGTGATCTATACGTGTAATGGAATATTGTTCAATTTGTCAAAGGTAAGACATTTTGCCCTTGGTGGTGACAGGTGGCTGTAATCCCAGAACTCTAGGAGGCTGAGGTAGGAGGGTTCTTAGGAGGGTTGCAAGTTCAAGCCCAGCCTGGAAAACTTTCAGATTTAGCAAGATGTGTTTTCAAGAAATAAAAAAAAAAAAAACTGGGAGTGTACCTCAGCGTGAAGGTCCAGGGTTCAGTTTTAACTACTGGGGAAAAAGAAACAAATTTTACACGTGGTTCAACAAGATGAACTTTGATGACAGCATACCGAGTGAAATAAGCCAGTCACACGGGGACACATGCTGTGTGATTTCACTTTCATGTGACATCTACGGAAGTCCAAAAGTATAATAATGCTCCAGGAGCTGCAGAGAGGGAGAATGGGAAATTAGTGTTTAACAGGTATATAGTTTTAGCGAGGGAGACAAAGTGTTCTCGAGACGGATGGCTGTACGGGTGCACAAGAAGGCCACTAATGCACACACAGGAAAATGATTCAGAGGGTAAATTTTTGTTTACATGTTTTACCACGAGTAAAACAAACCATTTTAATTAAAATTATTTTAGGGGCTGGGGATTTAGCTCAGCGGCATAAGCGCCTGCCTTGCAAGCAGGCAGTCGTGAGTTTGATCCCTGGTACTGATAAAAATGAAAAAGACCAAAAAAAATTATTTTAATTAAATGAGAATAAGAGAGGGCTTAACTAGCCAAGGATGTCAAGGAAAGAAAGGACACAAAGACCAGGAGCAGAGGAGGAAGGAGGAGTGGTGTTGGCATCTAACGCCCACCAGCCAATAGGACCAGGACCTCGGTCATCTGTCGCTGGGAGCCTGGGTGACCCTCAGCAAACCTTTACACTGCTCTCAGCTCTGAGCAAGGTTATGGGAGGATGAGGAGATGCTGACCAGGGATGGATGCTCTTTGTACATTCAAGCGTGACCCAAATGCTTGGAAATGTGATTCTCTGTGAAATAGGGAGCAAAATCATCAGCTGGAGGTGATGGTGCTGGGCAAGAGGGAGGCGGCCATGCACAGTGCTTTTGATGTCGAAATGATAGCCATGAAGTTTTAGATCCATCTAGTGGGGAATAAAATGAGAAGACCAAGGGCTAAGAGGTAGCTGAGAAGCAGAGAGAGCCCCCCAAGCAGACAGAAGCCCAGGCACACGCTTTGGAGAATGATCTTAAACTTTCCTAGTAGCCTAACAGGAAGAATTAAGAGCACTGAAAATTTCTAGGGTCCCCTAAGATAAAAGTGACTATACTATCTCACATTTTCCCCAGGCTAAGTCTGGAATAAATGAAAATTGATTGGAGCCATTGATCAGAGTAAATGTGTTTCCAAATTCTGGCACCATAACCCTGGGGATGAGAGAAGGGAAAGATTTCAGCTGGCCCACAGGCTCACATAAAATGTCTAGCCATTTCAATTTTTATTGTCTTTCTTATGAATTCGAGGTCCATACCTCTTATTAGTATTACTGGACAGGAAGGGGCCTGGATGGATCTAAAAGGTACTTTTATTCCACAGCTACTCCAAGCACATTTTAGTCAAACCACAGCTGTAGCAGATGCCTCACGGCTACTCCAGGAAATATGTGTTGCATCTGCAGCAAGCTTCAGCTATGGGCCTGTTCCTAATGGCCCTGCCCTGCAGCCCCCATGGGTAATTCTGCCCTCTGTAGCCCTCCTCATTCAGATCCGGGAGGTGTCTCTCCCCTGTCCATGAACACCCTACACAAGCAACCTCCTGCAAGCCATTTGGTATCAGTTGGCACACTGTTCCCTCTTACGTAGCAGCCCTTCAGCCTAAGTTCTCATGAAGCCTCTCCTGGATGGTGTATGCCTTTTTGTGATCTCTGTCTCAAGCTCGTGCCTACTGAGCTACTAACATCATGGGTCACGTGGGTCATCATGGGTCATCGTGGATGACCATGTCCAGAGTGGCTAGCACTGAGCTGGTTAATGATGAAGACAGCCAGCAGCCAGAAAGCAACAGACTACAAGTCATTGCCAGGAACCAACATATCTGTGGTCCAAAGAGATTCCAAGACCTGTCAGGAGCTGCTCGCCCCCAGGGGCAGAGAAAACCTCTAACACTTAAAAAGATGACAGCTAGTAGCCACAGGCATTCAAAGTCCAGGGCTGCTGGCACTGAAAGAGTTAATCAGTGGGTCACAGTGGTAACTTCAGCCTTCTAGGTAATTCATGCATGAAGATGGAGCATCTGAGCCCAACCTGGGAAGTTTAGTGACTTATGGAGACTCTCTCTCAAAAGTTCTAAAAGGGGTTGTGGACTAGGGATGTAGCTCAGTGATCCTAAGGACGTAGCCCAGGATTACTCCCCAGTATCAGAGAGAGAGAGACAGACAGACAGACAGAGAGAGACAGAGAGAGACAGAATTGTATTCTACCAATCCATAATTTCTAGGAGTTGAGAAACAATCTTCAGCTGATTGGTAACATCTTGATGTCCTGTACGGCCACTCACTTCTGTACATGGCCCTGAAAAAGCAGATGGACAGTGATACAGGTCATCAGGCAGGCTGAGGAACCAGCCTGTGGTCTCATTTCCTTCTTGCTGTAGATTACAGAGGAGAAAAGTTAAGGGACCTGAGAATGACAAAGATATCCACGTTGGTAGAGGAAAGGAGTTTGAATCGGGGTCTGAACCAGGCTTCTGTGAGACTGAAGGTTTTGTATCCATCCCAGGGTGGAGACAGCTTGGTAGGTCCTCAAGGACCTGGCGGGTGTAGCATAGGGCGATTGGTGCCAGGGAGCTGCACCCAAGCAAAGCTGTGGTTGGTCAAGCAGGGGAAGCAACTGTTCAGGAGAATCGGGGGCGTTCTTTCTAATTTGGGGTTTTCCTTCTAGAAGCATATGGTCTAAGGAGTGTAAGATATTACTGATTTTTGTCTGCACAGGTTCGTGAATTACAGCTGTTTTTTTGGTTTTTTTTTTTGTTTGTTTGTTTGGTTTTTTTTGACATTGAGGAGACTAAGGCACGGAGGGGCTAAGTGACTTGCCAGGGCTCATACACCCAGTGAGTGGTACAGCCAGGCACCCTGCTAAGCTCTGCATTTTAAAAGGGAAGGAGCCCAGGGAGCAAGACCTGTGGCCAGCCCTGCCCAGCATGTGAGTCCCCTCACCCCGAGGGTGACTGGACCATGGCTACTGGTGAAGTCAGGTCTGAGATTGCTGACCCTGGGTCAGCTGAGCGTGGCACTGGCCCGTCCCTCCCTTCCCCACCCTAGCCTGCCCTTCAGGGTCCAGATCCTAGAGAGGCTGTCATCCTGTGACATCATGGGGAGATGACAGATGATGGTGACTTTACCAAAACAGGGATAAGGTCTCTACTGGAAAGAACACACAGAGCTGTGAGGTAGCCAGGGAAGGACAGACCTCTGTGAGCCGGGGTGGCCACAGTCCCCACAGCCCAGAGGAGCACAGAGACAAAGGGGCCCTAAGGAAGCAAACCTGGGTGACAGGCCAGAGACCGAGCACCCAGCTATGCCCTATGCACTGTGCTGCCAGCTCAGAAAAGAACTCTCAGTGTGGCCTGTCATGGGCTGTTGTTCATATCTTTCTGTTTTTATATTTTTCTCAATGTGTCCACCACCCTCTGAAATACATCATTCACGCATTACTTAAATATTAATTGTCTTCCATATAGAATGTGGTGTCGGGTTCTATATTTGATCTTGTTCTCCACTGCCTGATATATAGTAGGTGCTCATTAATATGTAGTTTAAACTCTACCACAGATCAAGCTTTTCCATGTCTGGGGGCCCTTGGGCCTGGGCATGAACGCCCCAGCTTGGCGGTGGGGGGCACAGCCCACCAGAGCCCAGGTAGGAGGAGCCTTACCTTCTCAGCCTCTTCCAGAGCTGCAGAGGCGGTCAGTGAGCTCTCAGAGTCCTGGGCCTGATACATTCTTCCCATTACCTCGTAGTAGGGTCACATTTAATGAGGTGCTGTTGGTGCACGGATGGGTGTTACTGAAAGGCTGGCTTGAGATTCTAAATGTTCCATTTATAAAACAGCAAAAAGTCGAAGTATGCACAAAAGAGGACAGATATTTTAGCCACTTAGTGGGGTATCATCTGAGTTTTATAGAATTCCTAATACTCATGTTCTAACCCCCATGACCTCAGAAGGTGAACATATTCAAGAAGTCCTTGTAAATGCATTTGGTTAAGAGGCGGTCATACTGGGAAAGGGCACGCTCCTCCTTCAGTATGACCTGTATACTTCTGAGAAAGGGAAAATTTGGCAGACAGAGAGCACCAAGGAAGGATCACAGAGGGCCACAGAGGCCTCCTGCAGTCAAGGAGAACCAAAAATTGCCAGTCAACTCCCAAAAATTAAGAAAGACTGAACAGCTTCTCTCTCAAAGCCAACATCCCCTCCTCAGACTCAGCCTCCAGAACCAGGAGAATATGTGTCTGTGGTCCACCCTTCCTTAAACAATATAGTATAACAATATAACAACTAGAAATTATGTTGAATTGAATATTTTAAGCACTGTAACTGACAGAGGATTTTAAGCACAGTAGAATATTCATAGGTTATATGCAAATACTATACTACTTGTAATGCTCTTGATTATCTGTGGGTCTGGTGTGTGTGAGAGGAGGTGTGTCTTGAAACAAATCAATTTCTTGTGAATATGGAGGGACTACTATATGCTAAAACTCCTGAGGAGATTCAGAACCTAACCAAGTTTTCCTTGGGATGCTCCGCCTCTATGTTGATTTGAGGCCATCTGCAGTGGAGGTAGACCGGAGATGCTTTCTTATGACCAGCTTCTCTTTGACCCAGCGTGTCAGGTAAGAGGACACTGACCATGACCCTAGTTGACCAGGACTAAGGGATTTCCCAGCATATGAAAATTTAGTTCTAAAATTTTTGTCCATCTTAGACTAAATACACCTTCGACTACACACACACACACACACACACACACACACACACGAGCGTGCTCACAGAGCAAGCACACAGGATTCTGAAAGGGACCTATATGCATCCAGGTTGGGACATATCTGACCTTTACAGTCACATTCAAGGTGCCTGGTCTGACCTGTGGAGAGACCAGCGCTGTTGTTCAACTGTTCTTCCTAACAAACTCTTTTCTAGTTGAAGCTAGGACTATAGATTAGAGCACTCAGGGCTTCTCCAACAGCGCGAGATATTCCTGTATAGGGGCCTGACCTCTTCTGAGGATGCTGGGCAAGGCCGCAGATCCTGGACAGGAGTCAGCTTCAGTCTCAGCACTTTCTACTTTGAGATGTTTCAGATTGACTACCTGACAAATTTCATGGTGTTTCAGATTCTAAAACCTCTGGTTATGCATGTCATCTCTCCTTTTCACCCTTCCCAATACCTTCTCTGAAATTTTCTCTCTCATCTTGGCTCTATTGTACACAGAGGAAATTAATTTGTTTTTTACCCTTTGGGAAAGGTGAAAAAGAATGTAGAAAATGTTACCTTCATTTATCTAGAGAAACAGAAGGCCAGGGAGGCTTGGCATCTTGTCACAGGTCCTGCCTGGCTCAGGACCAGAAGGGCGATCAGCTGTGTGGCACAGCCAAGGAGTCGAGAATTATCACCACATGCTCCTCCATGATGCTCGCTCCACACACCCTGTGAGTGGCCCCAGTGGTGGGTCCCCCATCTTTTACACAACTTCTCCAGAGTGCATGCAGTCTCTGGAAGAGCAGGTGAGAGTAACTCATTACAAGAGAAAAAGCAAATCTCAAATCCGTCAGTAGAGAACACAGAATCAACAGACCACATTACATCTCTTCCCTTTTCTCTGGAAGTTGCCTCTTGATCCACACTGAATCCAGTGTAATAGAAAACACAGTTGCCATCTGTCTGTCCACTTAAACTTTCCGATTTTGTCTTTATCTTTGTCTGCATCTATTATCTGTCTGTCCATCACTATAGGATGCTCTGCTTTTTCTGTCTTCAAAGGGAAGAATCTTCAGGACAAGCACATTTTCTCTTGCTAATATCAGTCAATTCTTAGAGCATCATGTCAAGATCTATTTCTGTGCACAAATGTTTGTCTGTGTCCCTTACATAAAACCTCTTTTACATACCAGAAAGTCAGAAAAGAAGGGACAAAGGGAACAACCCAATTTACCTCGTTAGATGATGCTGCCGAGGCTCAGAAAGGGACATTCAGCTCTCTGGCTCCCGCATCACAGAAGATGATGTGGACTGGACCCATCTCCAGGGCCACAGGACCCCTGAATTTGTCCAACCCATCCAAGGGTTGATTCCTCTGCCACGTAGCTAGGCTGGTTCTAAAGAGGACCTGCCCAGTCATCAGTGACGTTGGATTGTTTTGGTTGAGTTCATTCCTGAGCCATGAAACAGTTAAGAGCTATCCTGTCCCACTGGCTGCCAGACTCATAAAGGTGGACCCACGTGTACTTCCTTGTGGCTCCAAGACACGCCGGCTCACCATTTGCCCACACCCAGAGGGAGAGAAGGCAACGGCAGTCAGCAAGGCCACCTCACATGCAAATCAACCCTGAGAGTACAGCTGGACTCCTCCTGCTGCTCCCAGGCAATGCTCCTGGGCAGGCCTTGTGGAAGATGCCATCCGGGTCGCTGTGTGCTCATCCCTATCATCGGTCTCCTGTTTGACACTGTGGGCCTCATCCTTTTGCTGGTGGGCATCTTTGCCCCACTGGATTTCTGGGACTTCTTGGTCTACACGGGAGCCCTGTTCCTGGCTTTCAGCCTACTGTTCTGGGTCTTCTGGTATACCTTCAATGTTGAAGTACCTCTCGAGAAACTGGACTTGTAGCTTGACTGCAGACAGAGGAGGGATGCATGTGCCACATGCAGCTTCGAAACTGAGGCTGGCAAGCAGCAACGTGTCCCAGTTCCCATCCAGGATGTCCCATGGGGACCAGGTGAGTATACACAAGTCCTGCCCAGCAGGGTGGCCTGGGAGGCTGGGACAAGCAGGGACAGGCAGGGACAGAATGGGCAAGCAGGTGGCCAGTACTCCAACTAGGGATTCTGTAAACATGGACTCTAGTCAATGCTGTGCTGGACCAGCCAGGAGAATCTAGAGCAAACATGTCTCCTCTGGGAAATTTTTTTTCACAGAGGCCAGAGATGCTCTGCTATGCCATGAACCTCTGATATAACAAGAATGATCCTGCAGCCATCTGAAGAGGAAGTTGCCCCTTTAGTTTGGAACTGAAAGGAACAGAATCTGTCTTGATTCTCCCACTGGGGAGAAGCCCTGATTGGGAAAGAAAAGCTTCTAGCAAAAGGAGAGGATGGAAATTTCTCCAGCGGCTGCTTATGCCTTTGCATGCCTGGAGGGGTGTGCACCAGGCTGCGTAGTAGCTAGCAGAGCAGAACTATCCAGAACGGCCCTTCTCCCTTGCTTCCTCCTGTACCTGTCAAGGTTGGCACGCAAGGAAAGTCAGGTCCTACCCCAACGTCCACTCAGTGGTGCTCCAACCCTACTCCCCTCACACACGTTAATGCAGTCACCACATATGCCAGGGCCACCCACAGAGAACCAGAAGTCAACTGACCACAGATTCTTGGTTTTCATCTGCCCAGCCGTGTGTCACAGTCAGGTAAACAGCTCATTAATTGTAGGGTGTCAAAGAGGCAAAGAGTCGTGATATATTCAACAGAGACAGAGTCCAGACGATAGTGCTGGTCTGGCCCTTACGATTCTGAATTAGAGATGGGCAGTGTCCCCAGGGCACTGGTTAGTTTGCCCTTCCCTCTTACCCAGATGGGCTGGGACCTGCACTCAGGTGCAGCCAGGCACTTCCTTTTGATTAGGCGATATAAAAGCAAAGGTCACTGCTGAACCTGAAGGAGGAAGTGATTATGGGAGATTGCCTCTCTCAGAACTGGGAGTCACGAGCAGCACATTGAGGAGGTCTATGTGGAGCGCTGGGGAGGTGTAAGGAAAGAATTGGGACCTCAGAATATGGAGGACCCACTCTGTGCTCCCACACTTAGCTGGGTAACCGCGGGCAGACTGCATCACGCTGCGAGCCTTAGTATTCTCAACTATAAATGGTGGGTAGTATTCCCCGCCCATGTTAAAAGGGCCAAAAGGGGGTGAGGCAGGCAGAGACTCTGCAAATAATGTGGTCCCCACAAACACCAAGCGTCGTTGTTACACGTGTGGGCTAAGGTGAGTGAACTGAGGCAGAATCCGATCTGAGAATGTTGGCCACGGAGAAGTTATTAATGACAGGGGTCAGCTCACACTCTGCCTTATGAAATTTCAAAGCCAGGAGTGTCAACCTCCTTTGCACGCTGTTTCATTGACATAGGTCAGCTAACAAACGTCAATTCCCTTTCATTTCGTGACCTTTGGCCAGGGTGTAATCGCGAGCTGTATTTATGACATACAGGCAGACTATAACAGGCTGTGCCAGTTCTTTTCTCCGAGTAGGGGAAAAGCAGGGAATGTGGACTCCTCAGTTTAGAGCTGACACCAAGGATTTGGTAACTTAGGATTCACAGGACTTGTCCTGATCTGTCCCTGACATAAGAAGGTCATGCTCCTGGTCTGGCATGGACAGACCTTGTAAGTTCCCTGGAGATGACAGCAATCTCACCATTGAATTTAAAGGCTGCCCAGAAGCTTCCAAGTGGCTCATTGGGTACCAAACATGACATCTGCCCTTTGATTTTTATCACTCAGTGGCTGTATTTGCAGAATATTTGCTCCATTTTCTATTTGTTAGGATTTTCCCATTGATAAGCGTAAGCCCCCAGGGCAAGTCAGGCACGTACTCTTTTCTTTTACAACCTAAGATGTTACAGCCCACACACAGGCACATACACCTACATACATGACTACTTACCTTCTTGTTTTCCTATACATCAAACACAATCACACACACACACACACACACACACACACACACACACACACAGGTCTCCTCCACCTTATGAACACATGAGCACATTATATGTGTCTGCTGCACATACATGTTCATATACATACCAGCATGGCACCCCCACACGTTTACAAAACCTAATCACATCCACAGCACCCCACCCAGAAACACGCTCACACTCCCTCACAACTGCTGCACACCCACACAGAAACACACTCTTACCCAGATGAACACACTCGCCACCCCCCAGAAACTAAAATTGCAAGTGTGGAAAGCTCACTCCCAGCCAGAGCCTTGGGAAGTAAAACTTGTTCTTCTGCATTGGGTTTTTCCAACAGATGGACTCTGCCCTGGGAGGGGGTGGGGGAGAGGCCACGTCTGCCTGGAGGGGAGCTGGCCAAAGGCCCCTGCACCTGTTCGGCAGGCTCATGGCCCAAGCAGACACAGTGCTGGGACCATCTACACAGTGGAACTTTCATCAGATCTCTCTGGGGATTTTTTAAGCAAAAGGGAGAGAGAAGGCAAACACACAGTACTTCACAAAAGTTCTCAGAAAAAATATCCCAGGAGATCAGCACTGTCATAAGCAGGCTTGAAAGCTAGGATGGGGTGCAGTGCCTCAGGGAGGCAAGGAGCCATAGGTCTGGCCACACTGGTTTTAAATATCTGGCCTGGCTTCTAGGAACTGGATGAAAATGTGACAGGCGGAGATAGCCCGGCGAGGGGTGTTCAGGCAAAGGAAACAAAACAGAGATGAAAGGGTTAGCGAGCCCAGACAAGACTGGGCAGACACATTAGACTTGGGGCTCGGGACCTTCAGGGCTGACCATGGGGGATCTTGAATGCCAGCTGAATATTTCTGGTAAGGATGGAGAAGCCTTCCATGGCATTACACACTGGGGAATAACCCAACTCCACTCCGCCTGAGAAAGAGTAACTTAGCTCTGTGAACACAGTGGGTTAATGAGGCGAGTCCCAGAAATACAGACACACAATTCAAGAAGATGAGCTGTGGATCATAAAGACTGTAGCTGAAATGCTGGCCATGGATGGCAAGGTGCAAATGGAGAGGTGTGTCCCGGTGTCTTCCAGGAGGAAAACAGTACCAAAGACTCCGCGGCATGAGCAGATCAGGAGAAGGAATACATAGTTAAATGCCACACTTTGTTTTGAACATGGAGAGCTTTAGATACAAATGGAGCGGAACAATCTGACTGTCCTCAGATATGTAGGTCTTTGTTTTTGATCTGTGATTTTGGGCATTGAACCCAGGGCCCACTCTGAGCTATAGCCCCAGAACCCCTGAATCCCTTTAAATTTTATTTTGAAACAAAGTCTTTCTAAGTTGCTAAATTGCCCAGGCTGGGCTCAAAGTTTTATTAATCTTCCTGTCCCAGCCTCCCAAACGGCCATGGGATGACAGGTAGCACCACCATGTCCAAATTTGAATGTATAGATTTTTAACACAGAAGAGATATCAGACGTGGAGATGGAGGGAGGATTGGCGACATGATTGTAAATGAGATTCTAGGAGGAGGGAAGGGTACAAGGTATTGTAAGAACAGAGAGAGGGACCAAAAGAAGGAGGAGAGGGATTTAGCTCAGCGGCATAAGTGCCTACTTTGCAGGCAGGCAGTCGTGAGTTCGATCCCCGGTACCGATAAAAAGGAAAAAGACAAAAATAAAAAAATAAAGAAAAACTGAAATTCACCGAACTAAGCCCCAGGGATTCACATATGATCTTGCCTCCCCTGCAAACACCACTGTTGGGAAAAATGGAAAAAGGAAAATATCAATGGTGTCATTACAGTCATCGTTTCCTTGTTACAGATAAAGATAAGGGTTAAGTAATCTGACCAACCTGTGGGAGAAAACCTGGTACCTCTGCCTCTTGTTCGTTCTCTTTCCATTAGACACCACTGGGCCAGATACGGCCCAAAGCCAAATCAAACCCACCTCCTATTTTGTGACCAAAGTTTTATGGGCTCCCAGCCAACTCATTGACTCATGCATTGACCATGATGTCTTTATGCTATCATGGTAGCCCTGAGTAACAGAGGCCATGTAACCCTGCAGGGGTCGCTATACTGACTACCTGGCCTTTTAGGCAAAACGTTGGCCAACTTCTGGCCCACCCGTGGCCTATATTTGGGAAATGGGGGCAAGAAGGCAGTGTGGGGAGCCTAAATGAAAGTTCTCAGTGATCATGAGGGGCTGGTAGGCAAAAGGCAAAAGAATCTTAGAGATCATATTAAAACTGGGAGACCCAGGGGCTGGGGATTTAGCTCAGCGGCATAAGCGCCTGCTTTGCAAGCAGGCAGTCGTGAGTTCGATCCCCGGTACCAATAAAAAAGAGAAAGACAAAAAAAAAACACTGGGGGACCTGACCTTCAGAGGCCTTCAGGAAGTTGAAATCTAGAGAAAAATGACCACTCTTGGCAATAAGCGTATATCAATAGATGGGGAAGGGTTAGATTAGTGCTACTTATGGAGTGACTGGCGGCAGGTACAAAGAGTGGATGCAGAGGTGACTGCCACACATTTGGTGTCGAAATTAGGGAGGCAGAGATGTTACCTGAAGGCATATTCGGTTTGAGGTGTTTTTAGAGGAAGAGATACAGAAGGCTGAGCCGGATAATAAGCAGAAGAGAGTCACTCAGTAGGCAGGGAAGGAGGATAGTGAAGTTATAAATGAAGAGAGACCACTGACCTTGTGCCAGGTGGGGACAGAGGAGAGATCCAGTGCCCAGGAAGAGCACTAGTTCGCCTGAAAGGTAGGGCGGGGAGAAGACATGGTGGAGCGGACACAGCCATGAGCTCGTTCATGGCTTACAACTCTTGCACAAGGGATTCAAGTCCCCATTTTGCAGGGTGAGGTGAGGGAGTGAACCTCAGTTTCAGGGTTAGTCCGAGAGACGTATTCTACTGAAGGGCAGCACCAGGACCCAAACTTAGTGGTGGCTACCTCCAAAACTACACTGTCTCACCACACACGAAGCTGGGCCTTGGCTGATGTGTTTGGCTTTCATTTACTCAATGTAGGTCCTGTCTGATGGAGAAGACTCAAGCCAAGATGCTCCCTGTTTCCAGCATATCTTCTGATAATATCCGGGAGGAGCCAGAGGCTGTGATGCCAAGGGTTCCAAAGCCCCCGCAAGGATGATGGGAAGGCCACACTCCATCTAGAGCCCAGAGCCACTCTGCCAGGCCACTGACAATGCTGCTGCCGCCCCAGCTGTTGGTGGAGATTCTCAGAAGCCAGGAAGTTCTCCTAGAGGGGTTTTATATGGCAGCATGGCTGCTGTGGGTTTAGATGCTTCTCTGTCCTTTACAAAAGACTGACAATTGCAACTGAGCTCAAAAGTCCAAATAGGGTTCCCTGAAAGCTCATATTTCCTAATATTGTTGCTGTTTCTCTGGTTGGATAGACTCCATGAGCCCTTGGTGGGCTCTACCCTGCCCACACCGCCCAGCGGGCGTGTGGTATCATATTCCAATATGTGGATAAACAACCAGTGCTGTGCGTGAGAGGACTTTCCCCTCTTCAGTGGGGCCTGCTGGGCACTGTCCTGCAGTCCTGCCCACTTGCACAGCCAGGCCACACAGGTGGCTCATATTGAGCTTTAAGTCAAATGAAGCCCTCTAAGCGATTTTCTAACAGACAAGCTCAGTCTCTGCTGTGCTGTGTGTGTGTGTGTTTCACTTCAAGACCTTAAAGCCAAGGCTTAATTTTTAGCTAACTTGCACGTGGTCAAGGGCAGCCCAAATACAGCTACTCTGAGGGTCAGCATCCCGCGGCCGATCTAACAGATGTGTTCCGCTGTGTCACCCAGGCTTGCCCTGTCCCACTAATTTATAATTCCCCAAGTTTGAGTTTGTAATTTGTATTTATATTACCACTCCTTAAAATGTGCATTTATTTTCTTTAAACTGCCTCATATCTTTTGTGTTATGAGGCAGTTAACTAAATAAAGAAGTAGATTTGGACTGCTGTTTTCTCTGACAACATAATTCTGCATCTGCGTGATTTCCTAACAATTTTGAAAATCCCAGTTTTAAGGCATTTGCTCACAGTCCATTGACCCGTCGTGAGAATCTTGAAATTCTAATGCAGAGAGCACAGAGTGATGGAAGCAGAACACAGATTATCCCAAGTCTGTGCAGTTTGTACCGTCTGCCACCAACCTGGCCTCTCAGAGTTAGGCTGGACTCAGAAATCTGAAAATATTTCACGGGAGAACATCCTAGTTAGGGCACTGGAAGGAAGATCCCTCTCCTACTCAGAGCCTCCCTGAGTATATTCACACATTCTCTTGATCCTCCCACTTGGCCGTTTCTGTGTACCGGGAAAGTTCATCTTCTCTTACTTGAGATTCTGAAATCCCAAGAAGAAAAAGTTGCTAATAATCAAAATCACTCTGTCCTCAGGAAGGCTCGGTGGTAGAGGCCTCATAACTTCTCTTTACGTGACTAGTGGAGTGTTTTGTTTTGCCTTTTTTCCCCTTAATTCTAGAAACTGTTTTTATTTCTTTGGCTGGATACCAAATGCCATCACTGGCTGTCACTTAGCAGAATCTGTGTCCTTCAAAATACGCAAATCTTAAAAAAATAGGATTGCGCTTCACCCGGAGCATATGTTAGCATCCAAAACAGACAGAAAGAGCTGAGGCTGGCTGAGCAGTAGCGGATTCTCACCTCATACAACACACTCCTCCTCCAAGGAGCTTCCCAGCCTTTGTGATTCATTCTCTCTCTCTCTCTCTCTCTCTCTCTCTCTCTCTCTCTCTCTCTCTCTCTCTGTCTCCTTCCTGTGTCTGTCACTGTGCCACTTAACGACCATGAAATGAGCACACAATTGTCCTCCAGAGAGGGCACATGTTTGACTTGTAAGTTTTCTCCCACATCAGAAGATACGCTCTTGCAAGATGGAGCCTCTGACTAGTCCTTTAAAAAGTGGCATAAAGTGAATGTGTGATAACAGGATAGGAAGTGAATTAAATTGCATTCCAGAAGATTGCTTACTAGCCCTTGGATTAGTTCTCAGGAAGAAAAGAGTGATTCACAGAGCAGAGACTTCTGGGATTTATCCCTGACTACCCTGGAACCACCTTTAAAAATCTGGCACTGAGAAGGTGCACCCAGATCAGGAGGGCAGGCTGTGGGGTGAGGCTCAGTACGTAAGTGCTTATCTGCAGTGACACTGCTGAGACTCCTTAGGTACAGAACTAGAGACCAAGACGTGGAAGACGATCTTAGAGATCACGAAGCTGTGCTTCTCCTACTGCGTGCATTCTCCTGGATATCTTGCTGAGTGTAAATTCTGATTCTGTTGTACTGGAGAGACTCTGGGATGCTGCCTTTTTCATAAGCTCGAAGGTACCGCCAGTGCTGTTACCTGTAACCTGTGAAGAGCAAAGCTCTCCAGCAACCCAGTCATTTAAGGGATTAGAAAACTGACGCCTGTAAGTGACGTGGCTGTTACAAGTTTAAGTAGTTGGAAGCACCAAGTCCAGATCTGGAATCCAAACTCTTTTCCTCTCCAGAAACAGCTGACTAGCTTCTCCCAAGCTCTGCAGAGCCTCAGGCAGGACAAGCAATCAAGCAAGCAGAGCCCTGGCCGGGAAGTGAGGCATGCTCACACTGCAAGTGAGTCACATATTTTTATACCTCGGGCATCTCCCGGCTGTGCCGCGTGCCAGGGAATGAGGAGAACTCCACGCTGCTCCCCGTCACTCCGGATGCCAGAGAGCTGAGTGCACGGGTGCCCATGATGCAGGCAGGCCTTGGAGAGGGATGAGGAGACACCCACTAAGCTGGGTGACGTCTGATCTAGGCTGGGCCTCCCAGAAAGTCTTCCAGGGAGCTGGGGATGGTGATCCTACTGTTCTCCAGGTCCATCTCCCAAGACTTCTTGTTGGTTCCCTAGGGAAACAGAGGGGACTTTTCACATACCTGAACTCAACCTACCCTGCCTTGTATAGGCTGAGTGATCTTGGCCATGGGCCTCATTAATGAAGAGATGTTAATGATCATATCATGAACACAAGTAGCAAATGCAATTCAGAGACTTCTGTAACATCCCAAATTCGCAAATAACTTAGAATGCCCCATCTTCCCCTCGGAGAAATCAAAACACAGAGCTGTAAATTTTAAATCATGTCATCAGGCTCCTGGTGATTCTAGAGCTATATGATCTGTCATTTTAAAAACTATTTAAACTAAAGCCTGTCACTAAAAATTAAATCTGCACATAACCTCTTTCCCACTGTTTATTGCAAACATGACTAATGGAGATTCTCCCCCCAACCAACAGCCTTAAAGCCCCTGAGATTCACCCCATCTCTCAGTGAAGTTACAGTGTCAGAGAAGAAGGGCACCTTACTGTGGTTGGATCACAACTTGACTCACCAAGACTGAGGTAGTCTCAGAAATATATTTTCATAAAAGACCAGTGAGCCTGAAGGGTTAAAAACTAACCTAAGGGTAAAAAGAGTTAGACAGACAAGTTTGCCTCAGTAAAAGAGATTTTCTGTAAGTATACTCAGCTTCTTTAATCTATCAAGAATCTATATTTGTTCTAAAGAAAGAAGGGTTGTACAAAGGATTAGACTGGATTTTAAGAAGAAAAAGAAAATTCATAGTACAGTGTCTGCATCTCAATAGTCGGAAGTGTCCAGCACAGATGTGGGCTGTGTTACCTGCTAGTAGACACACTGATCCTCTAAAAGGTGTAACAGTGGGAGCCAACTAATGGCTAGCTGAAACAGGATGCTCCAAGCCTCCCAGAAGATTTTTAACAGGGTCATCACATTAGAGGGATGAAGGCCAGCCAGAGAAAGGAGAATGACAGCCAATCAACCTTTTGGGGAGGGGCTTGGGATAACAGGCTCAGAATGCCAAAGGGAGTGAGGAAGCCCAAGTTTTGTTGTATAAGAAAGTGCTTTTCTTTTTTTCTTTCTTTCTTTCTTTCTTTCTTTCTTTCTTTCTTTCTTTTTCAGTATTTTTTTTTCTTTTTTTGAGACAGGATTCCTTATGTAGTTCAGGCTAACTTTGAACTCACCAGGCTGTCTCCAGCTAGCAGTGATCCTCCTGCCTCACCATGTCAAGTTCTGGGAAAGAAAGTGCTTTTCTTAAAACAGAAGGAAGCCCCATAGTGACTGCATCTGACTCCACACAACAAGACAGCCAATAGCTATAGTAAGGCTCTCTGATGAGGAGCCCAGGGACACAGCACCCTGTTCATTCCTTTATGCAATAAGCAGTCACCTCTGCCCTCATTCCACGGAGTCCTAAAGAATGCCCCCAGTGGGGGATCCTTTGGATTTGAATCTGGTAACTTCTGGAAAGGAATGGGTGATAGGATAGAGATGCTTCCACTGGGCACCCCCCTTCACTGGGCTGCCGGCCCCACAACTCCTCCAGTTAGCATGAAGAGAAATGATTAGCATATAGACCATCCATGTTACTTCACAGGTTAACCACTTAGCCATTGAATATAGCTTGACTTTGCTTCCCAAGTACACACACTCAAGTTTGCAATGATCTCTATTTCATTTCTTCCTGGCTTCTCTATCTCCTAACTAGGAGCGCCAGCCCCAGGAAACAATAGCTTTCCTCTCCTCCCAGCTTTCTTTCCAGCCCAAGCCATAGGCCGGATCTACAGGGAGAAGAACAGAGGCTCCTGCACTGCATTCCCCAGGACATGCCCCTGACACACAGCATTAGCTCAGAGGTGCCCTGACCCCACCTTTGTGACCTGTCGTCCTCACCACCATCAGTCTCGAAACCTGTGATCCTTCTGCCCCAAGTCCGTGGGTATCTTCCTGCCTGCAGCTACTTGGAGGTGGGACTGAGGCTCCCCTGATGAAGAGTTCAGGGATACAGCATCCAGCTCTAGGCCCTCCGAGACTGCCTGGGAACAAGAGAGCTGCGGTTTGCAAAGTGCAGAGACCAGAAATAGCCACTTCGCTTGAGAAATTGGTAGAAATACAGTTTCTACACAATGATGCTTAAATTGTTCGGTTCTGACCTGTGTTGTTCTGTTACAATGTCCTCTTTCATCTCAATCTCTACCCTTTTTAAAATTAATCCATTTTTTTCTTACTTTTTTTCAATTAAGGGAAAACTAAATTAAAAAATAGTGGGATATATTATAGTAACCTTTTTGTTTTCCTGTTAACCTGATTTGAACCCCAGTATTGCTCTCCCCATCTTGTTCTGTCTGATTTTACTATATTCTATTTTGTTTAATAGTATCAAGTTTGAGGGTATAGGCAACCACTTTGAAGGCCATAAGAATTACTATGATGCCCATTATGGTTTGACTATTAGCTTCTTTTGAAGTCCTGTAAGGTCTCCAGTGTAGGTTTTATTGGTCTTGTTCTGTACTGTTTTGATCAACTCTATTTTTAAACTCTTTTTTAAAATAGCAAGAGGCACAATGGTAACCACTTTTGATCACCTGGTATTCTATTTTTGCATCATGTACTATGCCCATCCTTCTGTTCTGACCGACTCTGTTTTGTTTAGTCATGTTTGGTTTTATTCTCTTCAAAAAAAAGTAATAAGAACTGTGAGAGTAATAAAACCCAAAAAGCGCAATTGTTATTATAAAAAAGAGAGGAAAGGAAGGTGGTCTAAGGGATCTAACTGCATGTATGTTTGAGTGTGTAGGATGGAAAACCATATTACTGAGCTTTTGTTGGATCATTGAATGGAACTGTCTGCAATCTCACTGTATGAATGTCCACTTTATATGCTTTAATTTTATAATTTGGACAACTGTTTCTAAGATGAATTATTACTGTATTACTTGTACCCTTTTACTGCTTTGTTTTTTTTATTTCCTTTCTTTTGTCTCTTTAAATAAAAAAAAAAAGAAATACAGTTTCTAGCCCTGGGTAAGGTGATCATCTTATGCTCACCCACTCAGGACTTTCCTGGTTTTAGTGTTGATGTCTCACATCCTGAGAACCCTCTTGGTCCCG